AAATTGGCTTTCCACATGCCAAAGACTAAAACTAGACCCATGTCTATCACCATGCACTAAAGTCAAACTGGATCAAAGATCTAAATATTAAAATACAAACACTAAATTTACTGGAAGAGAAAATAGAAATCTCAAAGATAGAGGTGTAGGCAGAGACTTCATGAATGAAACTCAGACTATAAGGGAACTAGCACAAAGGATCAACAAATGGGATCTCACCTTATTAAAAAGCTTTTGCACAACAAAAGAAATCACCAACAGAGTGAAAAGACAACCCACAGAGTGGGAAAAAATATTAGCCAGTTGTCCCTCAGACAAAGGACTTATATCCAGAATATATAAAGAATTGAAAAAAGTCATACACACCCAAATTCAAAGACCCAATCCAAAAATGGGCATCTGAGATGAATACATACTTCTCAGATGAAGAAATACAAATGGCAAATAAATACATGAAAACATGTTCAAAATCACTGGTCATTCAAGAGATGCAAATTAAAACAATACTGAGATTCCATCTCACCCCAGGAACAATGGCTGTCATCAAGAAATCAACCACTAACAAATGCTGGAGAGGCTGTGGGGAAAAAGGAACCCTTCTCCACTGTTGGTGCAAGTGTAGACTGGTACAACCACTGTGGAAATCAGTGTGGAGATTCCTTAAAAACTAGGATTAGAGGTCCCATTTGACTCAGCTATTCCCCTTCTGGGTATCTTCCCAGAAGAATTAAAAACATCAGACCACAGGGATATGTGCACCCATATAATAGCAGCACAATTTTTTATAGCTAAATCTTGGAAACAACCCAAATGCCCATCAACCGAAGAAGGGATAAAAAAGATGTAGTTTTTTAATACAATAGGATACCACTCAGCCATAAAGAAGGATAAACTGGAGACTTTTTTTTTTTTTTTGGTTTTTTCTCTGGTACCGGGAACCGAACTCACGACCTTGCGCTTGCCAGGCAGGCGCTTTTGCCACTGAGCTAAATCCCCAGCCCCTAAACTGGAGACTTTTATAGGTAAATGGATGCAACTAAAGGCCATATTCATAAGATAAATAAATCAGACCCATATGTATAAATATTGTACTGTCTCACTAGTGTGAGAAACTGAACAAGTAAATGAGATCCAAAATGTGTAACAGATCTTGTGAATTGGAAAGAAACTGTTCAAAAGAAAAGACAAACTGGGATGGGGCAAAGAGGAAAGGAAGGAAAAAAGAAACAATATATTTAGAATGGTTATAGAGCTACTTTCTCTTAGTTCACTGAAAAGAAAGGTTTGTGTTAATATTGTTTGGACAAGATATCATACCTATAGATCTTGTACTCTGAATAACTACTACTGGAGATAACAATATACAATGTATTAATTATTATAACTCTCCTACTAACATGTTTTGAAACCATTTTAGTTTTTTTTTTTTTCTCTTAAAAACAAAACAAAACAAAAAAAAAACCCCTATATTATGACCCTTCCCTGCACAAAAATCAGAATTTTGTCCTTTAGCTTTCATTCTCTCTCAGGTCTGGTTTCTCACAAAGATACTGTACCGTAACTGAAATCTATACTTTTGTAAGGCTGTAGTAGCAGGTCTAACCATAGTTATACTTCTTTCCAGTTGGTCACAAAGGATAAGTAGCTCAGGTAACTGCAAAAATAAACAAACCGTCTAGAAAATTTCTTCTTTTAAAAATGCAATAGATACAAGTCTGAGATATATACTAATCTGGACAAAAATTATCTCAAAGGAATTAAAGTGCATTCAGCTGATCAGAAAGTAAATTAATATGCAATTTTGCTCTGGGTCAGTGATGTATCTCAGAGATCAATAATCTGATACGATGGTAAATGGGGAAGAAAAAACATAAAATGGGGGAAAATGGTTTGGTTTTTGGCAGTACTAAATATTGAACTTATATATGCAAGGCAAGCACTCTACCACTGTACTACACTCCCAGCCTTTACTACTCTGAGACAGGGTCTCACTAAGTTGCCCGGCCTCGGCTGGAACTTGTGATCCTCCTGCTTCAGCTGGGATTACAGGCATGCCCCACTACACCTGGGTTCTAAATTAAAATCTTTACCTAAAATAATCATAATGGCATACTGATATACCTCCACTTAGTAAGTATTTACCTGAAATTTACCTATAAAATTTACACAGGCTAGTCTAATCGTTTTCCCTTGTCTTGCCAAGAAAATATGAAGTTTCTTTATACTTAAGGATATATTTACAAAAACTTCAATATTTCACAATTAGTGAATATCACAGATCTAAAGAACAAAAGTATTAAAAATAATCATCCCTATGAATGCAAACCATCATTTCTCTCTGTTTCATATAAAGAAAGAAAAACCAGGTGTCTTCAAAACATGACCTGTATGTGTCAACACTGAAAGACTGAACTTGTTAGTTGGCAACCAAATCTGAATGGGTATTAGCACAGAGAAGAAACTGTCAAAATGGATCTTGATGTTCTGAACTGTGTACCAGCCATCTAAAGTGGTTACTGGATAGTAGTGTTTAAGGAAGCAAATTAATCAATTCAAGATTCTTTAAAGACAGTGCAAGTCATCAAGGTATAAATAATTACAAAATCAGAACAGGTTAAGCCTCCTAGATTAAGGAAAAATGCATTCCAGAACTAAACATTAAAGAGGAAAAACATTTAAAAAAAAAAAAAAAAGAACATTCTGAAGAAAGGCATACTAATATATTAAACCAAAATCTGAGAAATGAAATTGTGTACTGAGGAAGCATTTAGTAGGGCCCCTAAGGTTTTCTTTAACTGGTACAAAATTTGTCTAGTCTTTACTGTTTTCAACCAAAAAGAGATTAAATATAATTTTTCAAAGGAGCTAATTTTATTTTCATTTGAAAGTATTTTTGCAGCTGAACAACACGGAGTTTCTGTCTTCCTCAAGAATGCCTGCGCCAAGAGCTGGTGCTTGTCATATCCTTCACCATGGTGGCCTCGCTATAATTCTGCAATGACTCAGCCCCTACACCTACCCAGTACCTGTCCCAGATGATGGGAACATGCCCGATGTGCCCAGCCACCCAGGGACCCAGCTTGTGAGTACCTCTTTCAATGGACAGGGAGGAAGCCCCCTCCCTAGCCCCCCAATAAAAGTGTGAAAACAACAACAAAGGTATTTTGCACATGCACCTATACTTATGTGTTAACAGAAGTATTTTCTTTAAGAAGTATGTGCGCCTACACCTCAAAATTCTTGACTGCATATTCTAGAAAAGGTAGCTTTTAAAATACAACCAAAAACATTACTACATTAAAAACTTTTATTACAATGGTCATTTCTAAGAAAGAAAAATTAAGTGGTAAAAATGTTTCCTTTTTTAGAAGGAGGACTCTACAGAGGATTTAATATAAAGGAAGTAAGACATAAAAAGGTGTAAACCTGCTGAAGGTTATAAAGCTACTTAGTGACAAGAGACTTGAGCTAAGAAATCTTCTCTCTGGTGTAAAGCTGCATGCCCCCGCTTAATGCTTCTGTAGTAGTCACTTCCCTTCCCCTTATGACTAATAATACAGAAAATTTAACAAAGAATACAAGTCACTCTAAAGAGAAAATTTAAGAAAATATTCCCAAACAAACCCTTAATTTTGCCTTTCCCTTTAGTGCACAAGAACAGAAAAAGTAGCAGATAGTTCCCTGTGGACAGAAGGACAAGTAGAAACTTCAGGATACTTAAACAAGCTATAACAACAGGTTTAAGGACTTGCAACTTCTCCACCACCACTTTCCTCATGAACTCCTCTACATCTCATATCAAAGGACTAGAAGGAGCTATTCTTCCAGAGACTGAAATGAGAGCTACATTGCTTCTCTTTCCCCGACTCCAGTTCTGAGGGTATAGAATAGTAGTGCCTGGCCAAAAGAACATCAGTGACACCCAACAGAACAGAGACCAATAGGGCATAAAGGCTAAGAAAATTATGGGGGGAAAAAAAAGACTCAGATCTACAAATCACTCATGGCCTATACCAGCAATATGAACCTTTTAGAGCTTTCAATGACACAGATAAACCCCTGCAGCATGCATGCCACAGGTTCCCCACTGGCCTGTACTTTGTAAAAGCTTAGACTATAAAGACAATTAATCAGAGAAAACTTTTTTCAGTCTCAAAACCATCTATGACCTTAGCACTCAACCATTTCATAATTCTTTTATGAATGTTAACTTTCTCTGCTATATGATAAACTCTCTGAAATTAATGGTCATGTACTTGTTTTTATATTCCCACTAATACCGAGAGATTTTAGGCACAGCGTAAATACTAAGTACATACATATTAACTTACTCTTAAAGTTGCCACCATCGACCAATTAAACTAATATAATCATAGGGATTTCAAAACCAAGATTTCTTAATAATGATGACAAGAACTCCACCACTGATGTAACTTCAGGAATCCAACTGCAGCAAAAGGGGCTGGGGATTTAGCTCAGCGGCAAAAGCGCCTGCCTGGCAAGCGCAAGGTCGTGAGTTCGGTTCCTGGTACCGGAGAAAAACCCAAAAAAAAAAAAAAAAAAAACAAAACCAACTGCAGCAAAAGAACTAAGAGGTGGAGACAGACCATCCCAGATCTTCTGCCTCATCTTACAAATGATTTTTAGCATAGTTAAATTTGCAGTGTGCTGAAACTCAAGACTGTTTTTTGCCAGTGTGGTGGTATGTGCCTGCAATCCCAGCCCTTGGCAGGCAGAGGCAGGAGGACAGCCATGAGTTTAAGGCCAGACTAGGGTACACAATTAGTTCAAAACCAGCCTGAACTACACAGCAAGACCCTGTCTCAAAAAACAAAAAAAACTATGGTTTTATACAGGAATTTGGAAGTTAGGACCAAAACCTCAATACAATTACAAACTACAAAAATTTCACACAGGAGGAACTAAATGGCAACTTGCTTTGATAAATAATTTCTCAAAGTTCTCATTAAAAACTTAAGGAAACAGTAAACAAACCAAACTTCATAGAAAAATTGTATTTACAACTCCACTCAAAAGCAGTTTTTAAAAGCAAACACAATGTAACACTAAAGTTGAAAAATTTATGTTCAACCCAAGCTGCCAGGTCTAATAAATTATTAATAGAATACTGCATCAAAAATAAGGCAATAACCCAAGATATGCCATTAAAGATTTTTCCACTCCCAAAACTAGATAGAACTCATCTATTTAGTAGCAAATGATATTTCATTCAATTTCAGCACATCTGAAATCCTTCAGGACAGAAGTGATAAAAATGTGATCTTCATTCTTCATTAGACTCTCTAAACAACTGAAGGAAAATAATTTCTACAGCACAAACAGGTAAAAAGGTATCAATCATCTTTCAAAAAGATACTGTGTTCAAAATTCAAGAATGTAATATCAATACACAAAGGGTATTAGGTGAATATATGCAATACAGTGATAGTAAATTAATTTATTTAGTATTTTTTCCATTCCATATCGTCAGGAGGATTGATTTCAACTTTCCTTTTACCTACATCAGACCAGTTGGTACTCAAAACTGTACCACCAGATTCCATCTGCAATTCAAAAAAAAAAAAAAAAAGGTTAATTTCTGGACACTATAACCAAAACAGAATTCTTTCCTTAAAATGTTCCAACCAGAGTCCCAAATATAGGGTTTTTATATACCTCAAATAAACTCAGAACAGTTCTTTGATTTAACCTTAAGACATTCTAGAAAAGCTAGTAAGGTCCATAAACTATGAAAAGTAAACTCCAGAATACTTTGTAGGTGCACCACGACACTGCCATATCAAGCACCATGCTCTCCTCTGCTAATCAGGGTCAAATGAAAATGAAATGGACTCCCCCTCAAAGTTGTGTTTCATCTTTTTTTTGCTAAAGGCAGTAAAGATCAGACAAAAGAATACCAGTTAAACAGACTCTTAAGGGCCCCTACTTAAAGCTCCCTCTGTATATGTTCAAGTTTACTCTAAAAAAATTTTTTTTGTTTTAAATCATGGTGGGTGGGGATGCAGCTCAGCAGCCAGCACCTGCCTGGCAAACTTGAGGCCCTCAGTTCAATTCCCAGTACAAAAAAAAAAAAAAGCTACATACATACAGGTACACAAACTCAGTGTCTCAGTGAAGAAATGGTCATCTGTTTACCATCTACTGAATACACCAACCACCAACAATACTACCATACTCATTCACAGCATGTGCCAGACACAATGATACTTTGGACAACAACAAAATACATATATAATACTGGTACTATAAGATTATAATGAAGTTAAAAAATTGTAATCTCCTACTATGTCTTAGCCATTGTAATATGCTCATGCATCTCATGCATCCATGGTGATGCTGGTGTAAAGAAACCTACTGTATTGCCAGTCACATTAAAAGTATAGCACATACAATTACATACAGTACACAGCACTTGGTAATAAATGTTACAGGTTTATATATTTACTAAACTTTTAAATTTGAACTAGACTTTATTTTAAAGTATACTCATCTACTTTAAAAAAAAGTTTACTATAAAATACAACACATTACACTTGCAGTAGCCTTATGTGCAAAGTCCTAGGCTCAGTTCCCACACAATTAACAACAAAAAAAGTTACATCAGGTGATTGACCCTTACCATATAAAAACTCAATGTGGTGTGGTTCTTTTCATTTCTTATTCTCCAAACAGGAAATGTCACATTTCAGTAGCCTTCTTTGACCCTCAAATCAGGATTCTACTCTTACAGTATGTGACTTCTGCATAACCATAGTTACTATTAATACGGTTATGTATCACACTGCACTATTGCAATTTAAGAGGTTGCCTTCTTATATCCTCTTGCTATCCTTCTGGGATAGCGAAGTGGAGGGCTCTTCTAGGAATATATTTTCCTAATCAATAATCCTTTGCTATCCATGAAGGATTGGTTTTAGGCAATGCCTTCCCCTATCAAAATCTGCAAGTGCTCCAAGTTCCACACACAATATAGTACAGTATCTGCATACAACCTACGACTATCCTCCCATAAACTCTGAAGTCATCCCTAGATTATGTGTAACACCTAAAACAACGTAGATGTTATGTAACTACTATATTGATCAGGGAATGACAGGGAAAAAAAAAATCTGTTCTTCTGTCTGTTCGGTATAGATCCAATTTCCCCCGCTAATATTTTAGATCCGCAGTTGGTTGAATCTGTGAATACGGAACCCATGGGTAAAGAGCTAAATGTATTTATATCACAGTTCTCAGCACAGTGTCATTGTACACGGTAGGCATCAAATAAAATTACTGAATTAAATGTAACAATATTATACAATAAAACACCCTTTAGAGGGCCCTTAGTCATAACTGAAAGGCTGTATTCATGGATAACACTACTTTTCCCTCTGTCTCCTTACAGAGTACAGTATAAAAGCATTTCCCTCTATATTGTATATGTTGGTCTTATCTGATTTAGACTGACAGATCACAGAGGACAGAGTCTATTTTGTTTCTTTTGTTTTCCCAGAAAATAGAAGCAAGCCTATGGTATGTTCCATTCCCAGAAAGCAGAAGCAAGCCATGGGTATATACACAGTTCACCTACAATTATCTATATGAAATTAATCCACATTCTATAATGCACTTTAGATTTAACACATTGTTACTTTGTTAGCACAATTTTAGAGGTCAACAGTAAGTCTCTGCTTTCGGGACAATTGAGTAGATGTGTTCTTCCTAGTAAAAGTCAAATGATTACACCAGATAATCTGAAAAGTTATACAGTGATGAATTGTTATTAAAATCTTAGCACTCCGGGTCTAACTCAGGTAGTATTTATGCCGCTCTAGCAAGACTGAATTTTCCTAATCAGCAGAGAAATTACTAAACAAATGAATAATTAATGTGCACCTTCTATTAGTCAAATACAGTCGGGGAAATCATCCTAGAAGGCAAACAATAGAAACTCATTCAGCTACTGTGATAGATTCAACAAAGATAACTCCCTCATAGGTCACTAATTTCCCTGTAAGTCACTATAACATTGATATTTCCTAGGCTTCCAACTTCAAACTCATTAAATGAATGAAAATGTTATGTATCCGAATAAACTTGTTTCTTATCTCTTTCAGTGAGTTTTCAAAACTACTACTTTTGGTGGGGGGTAGTATGGAAGGATGGAACTCAGGATCATGGCCCTGAGCTACATCACTAGACCTTCTTATTTTAAGACAAGGCCCTGCTAAATCACCCAGGCAGGGCTCAACCATGTGATCCTCCAGAATGCTGGGATTATAGCCATGTATTTCCAGCTTCTTCAGCAGTTACTCTAACTTTACAGCAAGAAAAAAATGTTCAAACAAAGCCTTCTCAAAAAGGTCTCTCAGCTAAAATATATATGATTTGGTCTCAAATTACCTATTTACTATTTCTTTAAGTATCTGAAATTCACTCTTATAATATTAAAAATAAAGCTTATGTTCTTACGAATGATTTGTTCATGGCACGTTTGACTTCATCAGAGCCATCTGAATAGATCTGCTGAAACAACTTGTTTAAAGCTGCATCTCCCTCCAACTTCTCATTCTTTTCTTCTTCTTTGATCTCACCAACCAATTTATCCCAGTTTCTTGTATAATGAGATGATGATGGATATAGGTTCTTTACATCTAAGTGAAAATGGCAGAGGTAATTATTCAACATGTTTTAATGTCAATAACATAAACTTCATGACCATAATGCACAAACACAGCCTAACAAATAAGCTGAATTTCATGTTTGCAGTAAGCGTCTTTTTGATACATACATCAATAATAATTTAGATTTACAATTCTAAACACCAAATCAGCATAATATAAACTCTAGGACTTTCTTTTGAGCAAAGTAACTCAAAGCGTAACTCCTGGTAACTGTATGAGACTACGTAGAAACAGATTCCTTACATTAATAACAGAGGACACTAAGTGAAGTATACAGAAACTTTCGTATTTTCAAAATGCTACAAAGATGATGCAAATAATTTAAAAATACAAGTTTTTAAAAGAATGCTTCTGTAAGAAATTTCTCTTAAGTAATGTTTTACTGCTAAAAATGTAGCTTTTCTGAGGTACTTATAATTTCTCTTTCTGAATAGAAAAAAAAACAAAAATATTATCACCCTTGCCACAACAGCAGGTTAAGACTCCACTTCTACCACATTAAAAATATGATCACTTCAACAGGTGATAAAAAGGAGTTACCAAAATTGAAAAATACTACAATGGAATCCCACACTATGCACAAGGTATTCGAAAGCAACTACACATAAGTCATACAAAACTTACACGTAAGTTCTATGTTCAGTACAGAGAAGAGTATTTGTTGTGGGGACACTGTTCTGGACAGGCCTTGACTCGGGCTCAGGGCACTGCCAGCACTGCCCCAAGACTAAGAGAATAACGATTTTGGCACGCAGAAAACTCACACAGCAAGAAACTAACCTAGCAGGTCTAGGAAGCTGCTCTGTTTCTTGTTCAAGAAAAATATGAGAAAGGCCACAAATGTGAGCCACATGTATTATTTATCAATTTCTAGTATACACTACGAAAAACAACCAGGTGCAGTACCTTTTAATAATGGTATTCACTTATAGGATATCAAAAATATTTCAACATGAAGTGAACAGAAAGATACTAAAACATGTTACGTTCTTTATTTATATATAAAACTTCAATATTGGTATTATTTTACACTTTAGCATATCTCAATGCAGACTAATCATATTTCAAGCACTTAATAGGTACACACAGCCAACAGCTCCTAAACTGGACAATATAGCTGTAGTGCTTTAAAAAACAGAAATGTGTCAGTATATGAGGACTCATTAACACTAATATCAATGTTCCTCCTCTAGTAACCCTGTCTGTATCCCTTTCTCAAAACTGCTGATAAACTACTAAATACCAATTATGTTTTCCACTTTTTCTCTTCATGTATAAATCAACTTTCTTCCCGCCAATATCCTCCAGCAAAACAAAACAAACCCCCAAAAGACACCGCACTGCTTTAATCAAGGCAGGTGTGTTGTTTCAAAAGTCCTACCTACCTTCTACTATGCTAGAAATCCTCTTTGTGTATTTCCACTAGAAACATGAATTTAATTAATCCTATGCTGAATCACAGGAAGAATAGGAATAGAGGTTTTAATCTCCATTTTACAGATAAGCAAGCTGACTCTGATAGGTTAAGTGACTTGCCCTTATCTACAGTCTCCAGCTTGCAGTACACAAGACTCTTAACAAGCTTTATTAATTCCTTACCAAAACTAATAGGACAGGAGGAATAGCACTTTGAGTATCTAGGGTGCTGAATTTAGGAAAAAACGTATTAGCTATAATGTTAAATTTAATCTCAGAAAAATTTTAACATCTGAGGATGGCAGGTGATCTGTAGAGCTGAGTAATTTAACTTCCTTGTTCATTCACTGTAATATCAAATAACTGCAGACACTCATGTCAGCAGAAACCATTTCCATTGTCAGGAAATGCAGCAACAAGCAGTAACATATATGGGGTTACCAAAAGAACAAGATTCACATTCTGAAGACGTGGGTTTTACACCTAGACAATGAAATCTGTTGGGTGATCTTGGTAAAATGATTAACCTTTCTGAGGCTTGTAAAATAGAGGGAATAACACTGCATTGCATATTATATAGGACTACTGTTAGAACTGAGACATGACATTTAAAGTGATTCTTTAAAAAACCTTTGCACTATAACCTATGCCCAAAATCTCTGGGCATCAACTGCAAAAGAAGCACATAACATTTTTACTATATGTCTTTGAAACATCCACTAGAAATATTTCAGTCCTTAAATATTACCTGTTGGCAGGAGGACTGCAAATATGAGCCAACTTAGCAATATCCTATTTCAAAATGAAAACATTTTTAAAAAGCTTGGTGTGTAGAACACACCTGTAATACCAGCATTGTGAGGGGCTAAGGCAGGAAGATGACAAGTTCAAGCCCAGCCTGGACAACTTAGCAAAACTGTGTCTCAAGTTGCAAGTTACAAAACTACGCAAAGGCCCTGGGTTCAATCCCTAGGACTGCAAAATTCTTTTTTTCTTTTTCGAGGGGGTGGGGGTACTGGGAATCAAACTCAGGACCTCGCGCTTGCCAGGCCGGCACTTATGCTGCTGAGCTATCTTCCCAGCCCCAGACTGCAAAATTCTGTTGGTGTCTATTTCCTGATTTTACTAATATACACTACAGACTAGTTTAGATGTTATCATTAGGGGAAGCTGGGGGAAATATATGAGAATTTTCTTTTGCAACTTCTATATCACCTAGAAATAATAAATACAACTGCACATATAAATGATCTGTTGAGTAACTTATTTTCTAACAGTTGCCACAACCAACTGTGTTTTCTGTTACAGAACAAAGTAGTCAAAATCTGAAAGTACCTGAGACACAATGTTAGCTTGTTTCACTTATTACATCAGGGCATTAATAAATCAAAAAGAATTAGCTCTCCATTCATTAATGAGGTTATTACAGTAAAATTCTTATAGTTCTTAAAGAGTATCCTCTAGATTAATTATTCCACTAGAAAACTGCTTATCTACTTACTGGACGTGCTTAGAATTGACTCCAAACAATACTGTTCATCCCTTAAAGGGCCAATCAACTGTTAGCTTTCTACTTTTCTCCTAGGCTTTCCTTAGGCACTTTACCTGTATGTGTCCATCTCTAAATTATAAATATAGTAATACGAGGCTAAAAACCTTACTCTATGAGGCCTGAAATTCTGGGACATTAGAGCTGACAATTTGGTACAAGGAACAAATGGGAGTAAAACAGGGAAAGAGAGAGGAGAAATACGCTTGCAACCCAAAAAGAAGCACAGAGAAAGGCCAACACAAAACAGTCTCAACTATCATAAACTAACATGGTAAACACCCCAACTCCTCTGGCATCGTGCTGTCATTCATCTGTATTCTTAGTTTAAAAGTTAGAACATTCAAAAGAAAGGCTACCTGTATTCACTACAGAGCAACCTTATCATACTCAATGTATCTTATCTTAGAAATGTAAGTAATGAAAGCAGAAAGAATGCTCATTACTATTTAATTCCAACTACTCAGCACAGTATGAATTTAAAGTTCATCAAGAAAAAAAAAAATAAAGTTCATCAAGGCTAGAAAACAAACCTGCTATGAACTGTTTGGATGTAGGCATATCTCCTTGCCCCTCTAGCTTTTCCCATCTCACAGCCTCTGTCTTTTTCATTTTAATTTCAATCTGGAGGAAATACAAACAATATCCATTATTCAATGTGAAATACATACACAGTAAAAATGCAATTTTCTTAAGTCATCAAAGTTTTATTAAGAATTAATAGTGTTTTTGACAGTTTCCTTAAATTATACAAGATTAAGTTTGAAGAATTATGAAACATTTATTTTCTGTTAAAATTCACCATTCAAAAAACAACATAACCACTATATAAGCTACAATTAAGAGTCTTTTTTAAATTTTTAATTTTTATTAGTACATGTTTGTAGTACGTAATGACTACACTAATCACTGGGAGTTGGTACATGTACACAGCACATCTGCTTTTCTATAGCCCTTTCCCGCCCCCTCCGCCTTCTTTTGGTCCCCTTCCCATGTATTAAAAAAAAAGCCAAAAGCTGACTTTTCTTCTAAAGCAGTGCTCTCTCTGTCTAAGACACTGCTGGCTAAGGGGAAGGCTAGCACAGACATCTAATGAGTAAAGACTAACGGATGCTACTAAACATCCTACAATGCACAGGAAAACCCCTAAAACAAAACTGTCCAGCCCAAATGCCATCAACATCAGCATCGAGAAACCTTGTTCAATAGGACTTTCTATATTCACATGTGTTTTAGAGTAATCTGTTCCACTGTATAAAAATAATACAACTACTCCAAGCAACGTGGTGCATGCCTGTAATCCCAGCACTCGGAAGGCTGAGGCAGGAGGATTGTTGGGAGTTCGAGGTCAGCTTAGGCTACAAAGTGAGCTCAAGGCCAGCATGAATTGCATAGCGAGACCCTGTCTCAAAAAGATAAAACTAAATAAATAAATAAAGTTAAAAATAATACAACTAATGCTAACGTTTTTTGCAATTCATTAAACAAAATAATTACAGGTTGGGTCCCTTTCCTAAAATGCTTGGGACCACAAGTGTCTCAGACAGATTTTTTGGATTTGGGAGTACAGTATTTGCAAATATGTAAGAAACACTGGAGATGAATTCATTTGTTTCACATACACTTTTATATATAAAAGCCTGAAACTAATTATATACAATATTTTTAGTGTGCATGTGTTTTGACTTTAACCTCTACATGAGATTAGGAGTGGAATTTTTCACTTGTGGCATCATGTCAGAACTAAAAATAAGATTCTAGAGCTTAGGTTTTCAGTACACGGATGTTCAACCTATACTAGACACCCACTATGAGTAGGCAGAGTCTTCAAGGCAATGCGGAATATTTAACGTAAGTGACATGTCCTTGATCATTTGGAAGTCTGAGATTCAAAGAAAGTACCAAAAGAAACAAAATTCAAGAGTGATCACACCTCGCTGAGGTTTCACGCAGTTTAAAGGACTTTCAGGCAGACTTGTTTGCAAGAGGAAGAGGTATGTTGACTTGTTTCCAGAGGCAAAGGGGGTGACCTAAAACTAGAGAGAGCTCTGTATATGAAAGGACATTGTGAATCAGGGAGTTTAAAGGAAACCAGATTGCCTTAAATCCAGGATTTGTGTGAGAACAGTGAAAACTACAAATAGAAAAAAAATTCACACGGCAGATTTTAAAAAGCTTTGGAAAGTAGGGTGTAGCGGCACTCGCCTGTAATCCTAGCACTTGGGAGGCTGAGGCAGAAGGACCACTGCAAGTTCAAGACCAGCCTGGGCTACAAAGTAAGCTCAAGGCCAGCCTGAACTGCAGAGTGAGACACTGTCTCAAAAAGACAAAAAAAAAAAAAAAAAAAAAAAACTTTGGAATGCCAGACTAAGTTCACTTATTAAAAGGAAAAATTAATAGGATCCTAATAGCATCTTTCAAATCTGGCCTCCTTATTACTGACACTCACAGAACACCTATTTCTATCTTTTGTTTTCCTAAATAATGCTCTCATTCCTGTTTTTAGCCTGGCAGAAATCAGCATTTTTAACACAACATGGTGTTTTAGTAAACACAATATTAGACAATACTATGCAGTTTAAATTAAGCAAATCAGAATTTTATAATCTATTTTTTTTCTATGAAAAGGATCATTACTTTTGTAAACTGGAAAAAGGCACAAGACATATTTAACAAAATGAGACTCTATTTACACTTTGGTCCTTTCCCTTCTTTGTATTAGATAATTCATTTAAGTCAGTAATTCCTGGTAATCTTTCTCACACCTGTATTTAGCGAGAGAACTCTCAAAACGTGCACTTAAAAACTATCTTAATGTACTAATAGAGAAATCAGCCAATATTTTTTAATTAAACATGAAGTCACAGAATGGAGGGTATGTGATTTCTGAATGTTTCTTTTATTAAGAATGTAGAAATGTAACAACTGTTTAAATAAAAAGAGAAATACATGAAACAAATGTCACTGGGGCTAAGGAAAATAATACTGCATCTTTTTTGGGGGTTTTTTCCCTTTTGTTTTTTTTTCCAGTACAGGGAATTGAACTCACGACCTTGTGCTTGCCAGGCAGGCGCTGTGCCGCTGAGCTAAATCCCCAGCCCCTCATACTGCATCTTTAAGGTAATTTACATGTTAGAATTCTTCATTAACAAAAACAAGTATTTTACTAAGAATCTGTAGCATTCTGTAAGATTAACTTTTCTGAAGTAAAACACAAGTAATGTTTTCTCACACAGATTATCACATGATAGTACTTTGGCTATTTCAATTTGTCACTGCTGGAATACTTATCAAAATGGGACAGAAAACCAACAGCCACTCATGATACAACAACCATTACTGAAAAAAGCTACTAATACTGTCCTAAAATTTTAAAGTCCATCTTGCTCCTTTTCCACTCTTTTGGGAATGAGAGTCTGCAGAAAAAATCATATATATCACCACACCCAACACAGCCACAGGGTACCCTGTATTCACACTTTATATTCCTTTACCATGTCCTCTGTATAAAAAGTTCCTTGTTTCACCTGAAATGTAGCACACACTAGCACTCACATCCACTGAAAAGCACTGTACCCTGAGTAACTGTGCAGTATGAATAACAAAGCATTTATAAAGCCAGTCAAAACTCTTAGCAACAACCTGTACCAACCAAGACAAGCTGACCTGAACTTAAAATTACATTTAATCCAGTCATTAAAATAGGTGCATGTAATAAGCCATTAAAGGAGTTTTTAAAAGGTAAAAAGGTATACCTCCTCCACTTTCAATGCTTATAGAAGTCTTCAGTAGATGTTTCTTTTGCAGATACTTCTCGAACTGACAGTCCAACTACGTAATTTTTATTGCAATCTTTAATCAGCCATTCTATTTTCATTTAAGTAAAAAGTACTTTGAAGCTCAACTTAAAACTCTAGTAGTTTGCTTGAATAGTGCTCTTATATGCAGAGGGAAGCATTTTAAGGAACCATAATGTCCCAAAGTAGAAACTACAGGTTATGAGAATCTCTACTGTGCTGGATCATTAGTTCTCCACATTATACAGTAAGTACTAACATCTACCTCTGAGGTGTCTGCATAAAAGAATTTATTAATTTTTCCTAATGAGAGGGGCTTCAGATTTAAACAGATGCCATTATTACTCCTTAGCAATCATGGCATGTAGATACCACCTTAAAGTGTAAGATCCCACTTAGCAGCCACTTGTGGTGGGGTACACAACACTCTGGGAGGCTGATGCAGGAGTACTACAATTTTGAGCACAGTATGGGAAACTCAGCAGGACTGTGCCTCAAAATAAAAATAAAAAAGCTGGAGATGCATCTCAGTGCATTAAATAAATGTCCCCTTCTTCAGAATACAGCCTTGCAGCATTCTCTTACTCAATCCTTTGCACATTTAATTGGCATATCAACCCTTCTGATAGTAGAGCAGCAGCTCTATTTTCTTGAGGCCAGACTGACATATCTATCTTATTTTTACACTCAAATTATTTTATAATCTTTTTTGCTTTGTTTTTGAGACAAGGTCTCATTACGCAGTTCAGGTTGGCCTCAAACTCATGGCAATCCTGCTATCTCAGCTTCCCAAGTGCTGGAATTACAGGCGTGCACCACCACACCCGGCTCCCAGCTTTATAATCATTTTTGAAATCCAAAGATGGCAAAGCAGAATTTTAAATACTTAATTCACATATTACTCAATACCTTCTCTAAGCCAGGCACTGTGCTGGTACACAGGACATACCTTTTATTCTTCTTGAAGAGACAATAGGCACACAACAAAAAAAATTCCAGTATATATATTCCATGATGGACTCTGTAGGTTACATTTGTATACTGCGAAATAGCAAGATAACCAAAAGGAAGTGTACTAATGTATCATTAGTGGTAGAGACAGACATGGTGGCCCATGCCTGTAATCCCAGCTCTCTGGTAAGCTGAGGTAGGAAGATTTCAAGTTTGAGCCCAGCCTGGGAAATTCAGCAAGACCTGACTCAGAATAAAAAACAGAAAAAGGGTTGGGGATGTAGGTCAAAAAGCAAGTCCTGGGTTCAATCTACGGTTCCACACACACCCCAAAAAAGGGTATCAGTGGTAAGTCTAAGTAATGACTTTCTCAGCTCCTCTCTACTATTTCCAAATATTTTGATTTGTATTTATTACTTTTACAACCTGTATACAAATCTAAACAATCAGGATAAAATAATAGTAGTAACATTTATCAAGCACCTAGATAGCTGGTGTGTTAAGTGCTTCCAATACATCGTCTTAATAGAGCCACCATACAGAAGGAGACTACTGTCTACACTTTAGGGATAAGGAAGCCAACACATGGGATAATTTGCTTGAAATGTCTTTTCTGCTGGAAGTTTTACTTATCTCTTCATCAATAAGCAGGATTTAAGAACAAGGCAAAAACCATGAGTGTAATTAAGAGTCACAAATAATGTCATTTATTAGACGTAAAATTATAAGCAAGTAATCTGAGTGAGCCTAAGTTTTTCCCATGAAATAGAAATAGGGCTTGTCTCACACAGACTTCTTAGGATTAAATAAAATCATACATGAAAAGAATACAGTCCTGTTTGGCAAATCACTTAACTGGATGCTATTATCCGTATCTTCATTATGATAATCGTCCGGAAAAACCTGGGCCAATTACTCAACATCTCTGGGTTTGATTTCTCTACCCCTAAAATAGGGCTAAAAATACCTATACCATGCAATAACTGTGAAAACTACATAATGCACAGCACAGTCCCTGGCATGTGATAAATAGTCAAAAAATTAGCTACTGTAGCTCCCCATAGGCCAATCATGTAGGACTTAAACTGTACCTGACAGTACAGGGGACAAGGATGCTCTGCTGAGGACACAAGGGGCAGGAAACAAACAGCCACAAATGGCTAAGTGTGGAAGTATACTACATATGGTAAAAAAAAATTTTAACTTTATGAATAGAAAAAATAGCAAGAAAACATTCCAGACCTACAATCTGTGTAACACCACAACTAATTAAAGCACAACACAATACCTCACTATTATCGCTACAACTGTATCAAAAAGCTACAATCAAAACCCCCATATTCAGATAAGCAGTAGCATGACACCCAGAAATCCCCACTTTTATCACATTAGCTCATACTTTTCTACATCTCCCTATTCTGTGACTATTAAGAAAGTAAATTCACTATAAAACTCCCAACTTTTACTGGGTGAAATGGGGCAAGGATTATATTTTATCTCCATATAAAGACATGCATTTGAATTTCCCAGGATTCCAGGCCTTCATTTTTATATTATATAGCAGAGAAAAAGTACTCAAGACTGAAGGAAAGAACGTTTTCATTAGGGCACATTTATCCTCCAAAGGGTTAAGAATTCTAATTCTTAAAGAGAATGACTATTAATCTTTCAAACAAATATTTCACACAACACAGTAGGCATTAAAGCCATAATCCCAAAATTGTATAATGTCATGAATTTATTAAGATGAAACAAAAGAAACGTAAGTTGCTTAATTAATTTTAAAAAATGGATTAATAGGCTGATATGAAAGCTAGTATTCAGCAAATGGGAGTAGTAACTATCAGAAACACTAAAAAAATATGAAATCTGGCTCGGAAAAACACTACATCGTGAAATAATTACTTAAAAAATGCTCCTTTGTTACTTTAAAAGTCCACTTTATTTTCATCACAAATTATATTTCACTCAAATTATTGGCACAACTAATGCCTATACACAGATATGAAACATGCATTCAACCTTAAAGGTGGGGAAAAAAACCAGAATTCTCAAAAGCAAAGAAACAGAGTGTCTAAGCCGTAGATTTTACAGAACCATTAATTTTACGTACATTTTCCTAAGGAAAATGCATCCTTTTCTCAACTCATGCAGACTGAGGATATGTGAATACACGACACACAATCGAAGACATCTGAATATATGAAAAGCAAATTCCTTCTGTACTTTTCTATGCCATTAGTAAATAAAAACCTCAAGAGCCTGTATTCTATTTTCAGTACTTTATGACACTATCTCCCTCTACTGTCTGAAAAGGGATTCAGAGATTTCATCATTTCCCTCAAGATGTAGTTACAAAAAATTTTTGTAATTTATTTCTCATGAAATACAAAAGTTGGTGGTTTATCAGATATATATTTAAAATAAAGAGATTACAGAATCACAACCAGAAAAATAATCATCCTTAGAATACAGCCAAGTTTTTCAACCAGCAATACAGAAAAACCTAAGCAAAGTGGCACTAGTTTTGGTTGGCAGTCACAAGAATAAGCAAGCCTCATTACACAGGCCAGGATGCAGTGACTATGTGAATTTGGGGAAAGCATTTCAAATTCCTGCGCCTCAGTTTCCTTTCCTCCTGTAAAACTTGAAACAAAAACGTTTTGTCAACTTTGTAGGGTTAACAACAGAGACCAAATTATATTCGTTCGTTAAACAAATGAGTACCCATTATGTGTAATTCATAGGATAAGGGTTGCCAAATTTAGCAAATAAAAATACAGAATAAAATACATTTACGCTAAGAAATTACTCACTGTGAATTTTAAATATACACTTCCTATTTCAAACATTGTTCATCTGAAATAAAATCCCTTAAGTCATTCACTCCCTACTCACAGAAATCAATTTACATTTAAATTACTTCAAATAGACACATATTAAAAATCTCCTGGTAGAAGTATACAAAAAAATACCAAGCTCATAATTTTCTGACCTGTGTCTCTCTCAAATCTACCTCGCACTTTGTACATACGTGCTTCAACTTCTTTCATTAAACAAATTCTGTACTACATAGACAGGACCAGTGACAACTGAAATCCTGGTGAAGGCTTCTTCCCCTTACTCACTTTCTATTTTCCCAGCAGTGTGGTTTCACGTATGTGACACACAATTCGCCAACTTTGCTCTCAGCAATATTCCAATAAATTTTTAAAAGGCAAACCCTTTTTAACTAGATGAAAAAACTACTACTTTCCTTTGTACTTCCTCCTCCAGCCCTCTGCAGCTGTCCTTTTTGTACACCTTGTTACCATTCTGCATGTCAGAGGGAGAGCTTGATCCTATTTCATAATAAACTGCACATGTCCTTATAATTTAAACAGAAGAGTTAATAACATACTATCTTCCAGGACCTGTATAAAAAAGTGTACTTAGTGGAAAAAGCCTACCTATGTCATTCATTGTCATTAATTCACTTATCATATATCTTCATATAACTTCATCATACAATTTTGCATCTGTAAGGATTTCACTGTTCATTTAGCCCATACCCTTCATTTTAAAGGAACTGAAAATGTAGTCCTGTAGTTATTTTGTGACTAGATTAAGTTCACAGGGCAAGCAAAAAGCCAAAGCCACAATTCAGATTTTCTGATTTTGTTTCTTTATTTTTTTGAGACAGGGTTTTGCTGTGCAGTTAAGGCTGGCCTCGAACTCAATGCTCCTCCTGCCTCAGCCTCTTGAGTGCTGCAATTATAGGATGTGACACACCAGCAGATTTCCTGATTTTTGAATCAATATTTATCCTACTGAATTATACTACTACCTGTATCTTTTGAATGCTATTTAAAATATTCTCTAAACATAAATTCTGTTGTACACATTCACTTTTTTGAAAATATAAAGGAATCAGTTACTAAAAACTATTAAATTATTCACTAGTCTCTCAGATAAAATAACCTAAAATCTGGCTTAACAAAAAAAATGTAAAAAGCAGATTTATCTTTAGTTTGTATTATCAACTGAAGTTAAGAAAAATACTTGTATATCAAACAGACCACACTGATAAATTTTGAGAAGATATTTTATCAGTAACAAATATTAAAAGTTGATAATTATATTTTTTTAGAATCTGGGGAGGAAAAACCCTGATACTCAAGTTACCTTTCTTGTTTACCTGTCATTCTTAATGTAAAGTAGGTGCCTTTAAAAGATGTACATGCTTACCATCACACAGGTGATTTGTTTACCAATTATTTCTATATTCTGAAAATATTACTCATTACCTTCTCCAATTGCCTTACCTTTGTTGAAAGTACTTTAAATGTGCTCTGTTCTGGTATTATAGGATGAAGCAATCTCAGTTTCAAATTGTAATCCTCTCCAGAAGGAAGTTTCACCCAAGCAGACAGCTAATGAACACGAAATTAGCAACATAGCATCATATTATAAATTTACATAGCAAAGGGTAGTTCAACTACTGTTGATATAGATAGAATATCAACAATGTTGCAGATTTCTTTAAACACATTATACAGAGTAACAGACTTAATAACGTCAAAATAATTTTTCCTTTCACATGGTACCCAACCATCCTTCAATGTGAATCTCATACAGAGTTGGCCAACAGAATGTACACACACTTCAGCAGTTCACGTCTGGAAGGTGGCGGCCACCACTTTGAGCATCACTTATAATTGTAGAGCCCAAAGGTAACTTATATTCATTTCATGATGTTTCAATATTAGTATTAAACTATTTATACAAGCTTTTCTTTACCTGCTGTATATATTTTTTGGGTGGATCCTATATATAGTTAAAAAGAGGGGAACATATTTCATAACATTTACCATATATTTAATTTCATATATTTAACATTTAAATCTCAAAAAATACACAAGACCAAAATGATACAGCATTTAACAAAAAGAAACTATTCAGTGCCATATATGTAATTCTACCACTCTCTTAAATATCTGTAAGCTCCCTACAAAATGCTAAGAAATAAGTTATTAAAAGTTATACTCATTTAATATGGCTAGTAAATTCTAAGATATGTATAAATCACACAGCAAATAGACTTTTTTTAATAAAGTATCCCATCTAAGTGCAACCAGATCACATATCTTATCAATGACACCCAAGCTGTATTCTGAATTTTAAATCTACAAAAGCAGGGTTGGGGATTTAGCTCAGCTGCACAGCGCCTGCCTCGCAAGCACAAGGTCTTGAGTTCAATTCCCGGTACCAGAAAAAAAACGAACAAAAATAAACAAAACAAAACAAAAGCAATGCACACTTACCCATAACCTACAGTATATATACTAGCATCTCAAAATGTAAAATAATTCAAAATGAAAAGCAATGCTATTCAGCACTTCCTACATCTTCTCAGGAAAAATAGCATATATCTGATAAACAGATAAAGATTATTCTGCAACAGTTTGTAAATAATAGCACTTAATTGGTTCATATAATATGATTAAGAATAATTACCTCTTTTTCTGAAAATTCCACATTTACATCATTCTTCTGAACATTCTTAATCATAAGTGTTACAATTACTTGAGATTCTGTTTGATACCAGTCATACCTATTTTAAAAAAAAAAAAAAAGAAAACAGCACTTTTAATTTTCAAGTTGTTTTGTCAAAATAAAAACTAGTCTGAGGCTGCCATGGTGGCACATGCCTATAATCCCAGCACTCAGAAGGTTGAGGCAGGACTACTGCTGCAAGTTCAAGGCCAGCCTGGGCTACAAAGTGAATTTAAGACCAGCCTGAACTGCATAGCAAAACGGTCTCAGACAAAAAATAAACACTGGTCTGATTAAACAAGAGCTCCACCTTGAGGAACAAAATGGCAAAGCAGCTGTTGAGTCACAGAAACAATTTTACGTAAGATTGTATAAATGGAAGAAAACAGTAAGGTGGATAATGCCTGAATCTTTAAGGACTTCAATATTATATGATTTTTCTATTATAGCTATGCTAGTATTACTGGTGAAAATTACTCTAAACAACCATCAATAGCTTTTTGTTCTCATTTTCACCTAATGCTAACATGATAAACACCTCTATCCCTATTTTACAGATATGAATACTCAAACTCAGAAAGGTGAAGCAAGTAGTCAGTGGCAGCCGTGGTAAAATAAATGGGCCCAGGTCAGGCTGAGTCAACACTCCAAGCTCCCTATTAAACAGTCCTGAGGCGGGCGAGGTGGCTCACGCCTGTAATCTCAGCACTTGGGAGGCTGAGGAAGGAGGATTGTTCCAAGTTCGAGGTCAGCCTGGGCTACAAAGTGAGCTCAAGGCCAACCTGAACTGCATGGCGAGACCCTATCTCAAAAAGACAAAAAAAAACAAAGAAAGAACAGTCCTCGGCACACGGTATGAGCCCTCAGCAAATGAGCCTAAATTAACTTTAAGTTTACTCACTGTGCCAGCCACAACATCTTATATATATTACCTTCCCCTTCAATTTTAAGGTACATGGGATGGCCAGTGTACCTAGGGATTCTCGTATGTACCTTGCACACTGAAGCTCTAAAAATGTAGAAATCTTCATTTTTAAATTAGACTAGGCCACAATCTCTTTAAGAGCAGAACTATTTATCCTGTCACTACATTATATTCCCAAGAACAAGCACAGTACCTGCTACAAAGTATACTTATTAAATCAAATGTTGTATTATTTTTATGTTCCAAATACCATAATTATTTGATGTTTATGTGTCCTATCCTTTCTGTGGCTATTACACAAAGTTAAAGATTTTTATTTACCTGGTACTGGGAATTTCATCCTTTATTTCCCCAGAAAAAATTGTTTTAACACTTCTAAGCCATTTTAAGTAATTATGCAAAAAGTACTTTGATTAAAGAAATGTACTGTAAGAGTCTTAAGCCTGCAATTCCGTGAGGATGCAAAGGTGCAGATCAATGCCTTATGTTTCTTTTTGTTACGGTCCTAAGAATACTACTACACACTACTAACAAACAAAAATAAGGTCAACAATTGAACATGGTAGCACAACCCTGTAAACCCAGCATGCTGGGAGGCTCAGGCAGAAAGATTGGGATCAAGCCCAGTTTGGGCAATTTAGTGACAACAAGGCATTGTCTCAAACTAAAACGAATTTTACAAGACATGGGGATGTAGCTTAGTGTGAAGACCTTGGGTTCAATCCTCAGTATCACTGGGGCATGAGGTGGATAACCAAAAGAAAAATGTGTAAGTCCAAGACTTGTAAGTTGGGCCAGGGATATAGCTCAGTGGCATAAGCGCCTGCCTGGCAAGTGCAAGGTCCTGAGTTCAATTCCGGGTACCAAAACAAAACAACAAAAAGACTTGTAAGTTGCTGTAATCTCTGCCCTCAACAATATTAACTTTCAACTTATACAGAATATTCCTGTGAAAAATTTACTCCCAATATAAGAGGCAGGAAAGTTACTACAGGTTAAGCTTGCTAACAACCTATTTATCTATGTATAGTAACACCAGTTTAACTAAAATAAGCTCTCCTTGATATACAGAAAGGTGCCTTAATATGGAGCCAAGTTAAGTAAGTTAAAGATGAGATTTGGTTTTATTCAGGTTTATATAGTAAAGCATTAATCACTGGGCAGCTTTAAAGTTTTTTCTTAAGGCCATAACACAATTTAAAGAAAAAATAGTTAAAATCACATGACAAGAATTTGGTTACTATTTAAACTACAAGTGTCTCCCCCACCTTCTTTAAGTATATTTATTATGCATTGTTATCATGCGTCAAGAAACACTTACTTGATTTTTGACCGAGTCCTCTGGGATGAAGAATGATTTCGGCAAGGTGAAAGAGAAAGAGTTTTACAAATTAACTTAGCAATTATATAAAAGGGCATGCCATATTAATATACCCATGCTATTTAATTTATCAATCTTTTGATATACACAAAAGATTACAATGTTCACCGTTTTGTCATTTTAATAGTTTCTATTTTTAAAGATTTTTCTTTTAAATAGTTTAAATAAAGATGTTCTAAAGGTATGACTCGAAAGTTATATAAAACATCCAGCTCTAAAACGCAGTAACTCCCTAAACTTGACAATACCATTTTTAAAACTATTTTTATGAAAAAGCATCATCTTCTACTTTAACAATGATATAAAACACTGCTCAAGAAACCCATAAAGGAACATTTCCACTGTGACTTCCTATTAGTATCTTACTCCATTTATGGCCTCTCTGCAACAGACATTGCCCATCAAGAAATAAAGTGACTCCTGGCCAATCCCTACTATCCTAGACTACAGGCGCACCAGTTAAGACTATGTAAATTTAAAGAACTTATCCTGGGTCAAAGGTGGCCTTCTTAAACTGCCTCTAAATGAGAAGGGAAAAGCTGGGGTATGGCACAAGCATATAAGTAAAACAACTTAGAAGTCTAACTCAGAATTAACTCTCCAGTTGTAAGTATTTAGAAATAGCTGGATCCACATCATATTACATCAATCTACTGATCAGAACAGGTTTTATTCTAGTTCATCATGGTACCACAATAAAACTAGTCCGAACCACAGCAGTGATAAAATGCACTAAGCCTACACATCTTGTGTTGTCTTAAATCTACCATTAAAAGCCCTACAATTAATTTTGTTTAACCTAAATAAATGGGATAACTTTTTAATAAAGAAGATAGGAAATAATCATCTTGACTATACTAAAACTAACTTCAAGTCATTAGAACAGCCCATTCATTTCCATGACTATATATACTTCTATAATTTTTTCACCAAAAATTAAGCAATATTAAACAATATTTAATAGATAAGAGCTCATCCCAAGTCTTGTCTCAAATATATTTGATATATGAAATTTAACATTATGTAAAAATGTGAAAAATGAAAACTTTAAACTTACCACCTCAGATTCTGATCCTATAAAACATGAAAAAGGATATACTTTCAGATAATAGTACGCTGACAGGTAAAGTCACAGATATGATTTCTATGGCAGAAATATAAAGCCAATTCTCTGTATTTTCCAAATAAATTAAATTTTGCATCTTAGAGTATTTTAGACTCCTTAGACATTTACTAGAACACCACAATACCACTGTAGAACAATCCATCCAAATCTCCCTTTTAGTAAGGAAATGAGATAAAAATCCGTATTTCTGGAAATCCATATGCAATGAGATATGTATTACTTAAATTATAAATATTAAAAATTTTGGGGGCTTGGGATTTAGCTCAGCGGCAAAAGCGCCTGCCTGGCAAGCACAAGGTCGTGAGCTCGGTTCCCGGTACCGGAGAAAAACCAAAAATAAATAAATAAATAAAAAAAATAAAAATTTTGTTTAAAAAAACTTCAAATGTTTCCTTCTTTTTAAATTGAAAGACTATTTGGAATCTACACGCCATACTCACCATTGTGTGCTTCTTGACATCTTTTAATCCAGACAATAAAATTAGCATCTGCACCTGCAAAGAAAAAAACTGTAACATCACTTATCTGCACAACATAACATATTCATTCAACAAAGACTACTGAATACCTACTCTATCCTAGGGTCTATTCCAGGTGCTGCAGATTCAGCTGTAAATAAAGTAGATAAAACCACTTGTCGACATAGTGCCTACAGCAGTGATGGTGCACTAGAGACAGAGCATCCAAACTGCAACCCTCAACTCATTCATCACAAATCGCCCACACTGCAAGTACATCTACATACTAAGGTTTCCGTTGAGGAAAAATAACTCATAGTTGGCTCCCAAGCCAACAGAGAGGGTTCCGCCCACTGCAGCACAGAATGGCCTTACAGCAATTCTGATGTTATAGCTATAAACATTACCAAGAGGCAACATTTAGTTGTTCATCTGGAAAATTTGTTCTGTCAAATTAGTTTTAACTGAAGTCAACCTCACTAGTTTCCCAGATATTTACTATCTACATTTCCTCCCACTCCCCTGCTCTTAAAAGAACGCCATCAGGTGCATTAGGGTGCATTAACTGGTAGCTGGGTTAAATTCGAGAGACCTCTCCCAGCCCCCACTTGCTCTTCAATGTAGCTACCTATTCTGGCCATTACTCTCAGGGGCTTTGTTACCATGCCTTTCCTACCAATACCATATAAATAAAGCATTTTTATATGTACTCTGTAAAATTAAATCACATCTCCAACTTACATGGTGGCCAAGGGCCTATACATAGTGAACTATATATTTATAGACAGCAATGTAAATGTGTAAACAAATAAATTATTGACCTCTGAAGACCCAAAACAATATATAAAGTCACAGTACGTAATAAAATGTTAAGGAAAATATTAAAATACTCTAAATAAAAGCTTACTAATACAAGCTAACTGCAGCCAAGGTTAATCTGAAAAATGAAAACCAGTAGTTCTTTAAATTTCTTAATCCATTAACTTATAAAAGAAATTAAACAATACATTGTCTTAATAAAAATTTTAAATACACACACCATATTGTACTGGGGAACTATTATATCAAAATTCTAGATTTGTACACACATCTGTAATCCCAGCAATTGGGAGGCAGGAAGATAACTGTAAGTTTGGGGCTAGCCTAGACTACATAATTAGCTCAAGGACAGCCTGAACTATATAGTGAGACACTGTCTCTAAAAAGAACAAGGAAAAAACCCCACATGCTAGATTTGAGCAAAACAGCACAGAACAGGAATGACAAAAGAATCTGTGTCTCACAGGGTTTTCAAATATGTATCAAGGCATTAAATAGCAACCCTAGTTTTTGCTAGTTGAACAGCCATACAATTCATGTACCAAAACTGGAATAAGGAACTCTAACAACACCTATTGCCCAGATCCCTCCCTCCCTTCCTAATTTGTAGCTTCCATATGCACAGCTGGGTCCAAAGTCCCTTGAGTAGGTATACAGCAGAAAAGCAAATGTTAAAGCAGTAGGGACTAAATGTTTAAAATATATAATACTTTAGAGCAGGGTTTCTCAAGTTCAGCACTACTGATCCACTGATATGGTGGACCAGATCTTTTTGGGTTGTTTTAAGACAGGGTCTTGCTAAGCTACCCAGGCTGCGCTTGAACTTGGGTTTCCCCTACCTCAGGCCACAGAGTGCTGGAATTATAGACCTGATCCATCCGAGACAGCTCAGCTGTATTATTGTTGAAGGGGCCTGTCCTGTGCACTACAGGATGCTTACTAGCATCCCTGGTCTCTGGTCACTAGATGTCAGTAGCACATCCCCCCAACCACCAATCATGACAATCAAAAATCTTTTCAGACACCCATAAAAAGTCCCCCTGGAAGCAAAATTGTTTCCAGTTAAGAAACACTGCTTTCGGGCTGGGAATTTAACTCAGCTGCACAGCACCTGCCTGGCAAGCGCAAGGTCGTGAGTTCGGTTCCTGGTACCGGAAAAACAAACAAACAAAAAAAAGAAACACTGCTTTGCACTAGACATTGTGGAAAATTCCTGGAATCTCAGTTACTGGGAGGTTAAAAAGCAGAATTTCAAATCTGAGGCTAGCCTGGGCAACTTGGCAAAACCCTGTCTCAAAATAACTAAAGGGGGTGAGGGCGATGTGGCTTGATGGCAGGTGCTTGCCTAACACGTACAAAGCCTTGGGTTTATACTCCAGTGCAGAAGCAGGTAGGGAGTGACTACTTTAGAGATTTGTCATAATACTCTGATATAAAATAAAAGTAATAGTTCAATCAGGATTATGTAGTCTTTAACTTTCTATGAGATAATTCACAACCTGGATCTTTTAGTAGTCTGAAGATTTAAAATTCTCGGCTCTCACAATTTCTATTTATGTATCTAAACACCCATCCGTTGGGTTTGAATAAAGTACATACTCCTTTCTAAAGACAATACTCAAAGCCCTAGGTTTCTTCCGCACCCTCGCACAGTTTACTCAAACTTACACTTCACTTCTCATACAGGCTTTGTAGCAAGATTTCCCATTTTAGCAGTCGGAATAATTTAGAGTACATAGATTTGTAAATAAGACAGCAAATTAAATTTTCCATTAGAAAAACTAAAGCCAGACACAATAGAAAGAGCACACTGAGTATTTATACAGTTTTTGGTTTCTAAGCAGCAAAGTTTATCTGTGATTTAAATGCCAAATCCATCAGTTTTTAAGTGAATTCAAATTCTATAATCAATATGAAATGTCACTAAGAGACGGAAAAAGATGGGAGGCTTCCACAATTTTTTTTGGAGACAAGGTCTTGCTATGCAGTTCAGGCTGGCGTTGAACTCACTCTGTAGCCCAGGCTGGCCTCAAACTTGCAGTGATCCTTCTGCTTCAGTCTCCTAAGTGCTAGGATTACAGCTACGCATCGCCATGCCCAGCAGGATTCCACAATTAACTTGAGAATACATGAACAAAATTCAGCTATTATATTCAAGATACAGTATTAATAATACTAGTGTTTTAAAAGCAAAATTCTAATACTTACTATCTAATTTTTGTCCTTCTGTAAAAGTTTCTAGAGCAGCAGCATAGTTTTTTTCATAGTATTCACACATCCTACATGAACATATTAAAAACCAATTAACATACATGAAATCACGGAAAATAGCCTTCTAAACAAAAACAGCTTATTCTTCTTTACTGCTGAATTTATTTTCAGTATATGTTAATGAGACAGATTTTCCAAAACACTGTAACAGTATAATTCTCATTACAATTCAATTTTGGAACTCACTTCAAAATGAATTTCGCTTAATTGTACAAACTTGCTCATTTCAAAGTACAATTACGCAAAACAATTAATTTCTTATTTAAATAAAATCACACATATCAACATAAACAAGCTTGGTTTAACAAATTTATATAAAAGAGACACAGAGTTTTCCTAGCATTAAGTATATCCTACCCAGCATACAGAGAGTGAGATGTTCTCCGGTTAGTCAAACACAGTAAATTCCAAAGAATAAAGGGATGTGTAATCCATCCATTTCATCTGTAACTTGCAATTACTTCAATTACCACTATTTTAAAACATCAACCACAGGCTCATCACATACTGCAGTTAACATACTAACATAACTATATATTGTATTTAAAACAGAGTAAGTTATCAAATGTATATGCAAGTATAGCATTTTAGTATATACAAAAAGTTTACAATAACTCACTCAAAAAATTAAACATCTATTATTTGTAGTCCAAGCCCAACAAGAATAGTAGTTAATTACATACCCCTTCCTCAGCATAGCAGTGGTATTACTGGGGTTGAGTTTTAGAGAAGTTTTTGCATCAGAAACACCATCTATATAAAAGGATTGTTGTTTAGTCAGATACTTACAGATGCAGCAAATCATACACATTTAAATCAGTCTTACATTTTTTAAGTTCATTTGGTGGAAAGGCCAAATGGCTTTAAATCAGAAAAACTAATCCAAGATAAAATTCAGTAAGTACTATATCTTCCTTATGATCTAATGTCTAACTTCCTTCTTAAAGTTCTTCTATCAGTAAAGTTCTGCATCGTAAAGCTCATATCCTTCTCCTATCAGTATTTATATAATTTGACTCAAGGTACTAAATTCCTCCCTACCCAAATTCTCAATCAGAGTAAGTAGCTTTTTAAAGTTACACAACACAGAAACATACTTTTATTCAAAATGCAAACAAGAATATTTCACTTAAATACACCATGAAATAATAAACATATTTCTCATTAATATAGCCCATTACTATGAAATTTGTGTAAACGTTCTACTCCTTGAAAAACAAAGACACACATAACTGTTAAATGGCTGTTACTCAACATAATAGTTTCATGCTACAGCTACTTTATCCTTTTCAAAAGATCAATTTAAAAATAAGTATAACCTCCATTTTATTTTATTTCATCCTGTTTAGGGCAAAATTTGTAAGTAAGCTTATAAAGAAGACTTTGTAAGAAAAGTTACCACAGTAATTTCCAAGGAGAATGTGACAGTAAGCTCTCTGACAATAATACTGTGCATCATCTGGTTTCTGTTCCAAAGCCTTAGTCAGCTCCTACAAATACAAACACGCTGAGTATCAGTGGATGTTTTTAAAAGCCATTTTACCTAATTAAAATGATGTTTAGTCAAATAACCTATTATCACAAGCTATTTGGCAAAAAGACAACAAAGAAACAAGCTTGGCGCTTTGCCTTGTAAGAGGATCAGTATCTCCCCTTCCCTTCCCCAGTACCCACACCCAAAGAACACAACCTAAGGTAATATCTACATAAAGCCCTTAGCTGTTCCTGGCCTATAGCAGGAACTCAATAAAAGGTCATTATTATCATGTTATTTATCCTGAGTTTAGTTGACCAGTTCAGAATTTCACAAATTTGGAAAAGACCCAAATGTAAAAAAAAGTGCAGCTTTTAAAGTTTAAAAGCGAAATTAAAAATAAGGCAAACCAAAACAAAGCACAATCTTTAGAAGTTACATCTAGAGCTCAGGGAGGTTAAAAGAATCAACAAATACACAATCAAGCTTACCTGGCCCTCTCCTGTCAATGACAAAAACCCTAATAGTTTACAGCATTCTATTCAAAGTCCATATAGAACCTCACAGATAGCTAGTATCAAATGATCAAAAGTTAGCAGTAGAGTAAAACCTTTTAACACCCTGCCATATATAGCTAGCTGGCAGCTCAAACAATGACACAAGAGAGCATAATGCTAAGGAAAGCCAAGAATAAGTACCAACAAACAGGAACACTTTCATTCTCAACCACTGCCCCAAACACTAGAAATCTGGTAGTTCTCACAAAAGGTAAGTTCTTTCAACAGTCACACATTATTGACTGCTTTAACTTAGTAATGTGTTCCTCACAAAACAACGTGTTCTAAGGGAATCTTTATCTGTTAATCAGATTTTCTTACTCTGTCTGCACAAAATTCTCTAATGCTTTTCCAGATGACTTAGCAAAACCCCAACTTCTAAAGGCCCTACTTGAAGACAGGACCCCTGCACCTCTCTACTCTCACCTCTTCCTACCTTTCCCTCGGCTCCTCCTTCCAACCACAACAGCCTCTCTGCAGTTTCTCAAACACTTCAGGACTCTGCACCTATTTCTCTCTTTCCCTAGATGTGCACAGATAATTCACTCCCTCATTCTTGGTTAGTGACAAGAATGCACCAAAGACAGGATTCAAATCCAGGTCTGACTCCAAAGCTGGTCTTAACCACAAAATACTGCTGCCTCTTAGTTATTTTTTTATTCCAAGTTTCTCTATCTGACAATTTTATTTATGCTTTCTAATATTTTGATATTTCCAAGTTTCTTGAATCAAATTCAACAATTTGAAAATAATGAATAGCTTCCTTATCTACTCAAATGTATCTTTAAACCAAACTTCCAGTCACATTTAAGAAAAAAAGCATATTATGATTCAGAGGGCTGTTTTATCTGGATCTTGAATTTAAACAGGATTTTGAAGGAACATTATGTAACTGTCATATGTTAAATACACTGTAAGTATATCCAAAGATATACTTGCAGAAAATTCATTATGCAGGCTGGGAATGTGGTCCAGTGGTACAGTGCTTGCCCACCATGTGCAAAACCCTAGGTTCTATTCCCAGCACTGCAAAAAAATCAAAAGAATTAGCAATTATGCTACAGGTCTGAAATTTATTGCTCTCAAAAATGAAGACACCCAGTATATTATAAAGTACAGTGGTACCATGGTTCTCAAACTGAATTCTTTCCACAATTCTGATCGTTCAAATTCTGTGACCAGAATCGTGGAAAGAACCACTTAAGAGGTTTACTCCAAGAGTCACTCGGACAGCACAGTTTGTATACTGACTATCCCAAGTGTCACTCACGCAGGTGTCTTTCAACCAGTTGATTCTTGTATTGAATAAATCTGATACATTGTTGTTTTTATATTTCCTGTTATAAGTGAAAAATACGCAATTTTTGGTCATCCTTATTTTAATAATCAGACTGGTAGGTGGTTAAGTTCATGAACTGCGGCACCACTGTACAATTACAATGAAATTTAATGGTTGTGAAGTAACTACCCTGATAACCCAGGACAAAAAGGGAAAGAAAAATCATTTTTAAGGCAATGAAATTAAGAATTAGGGGTTGATGATGTAGCTCAGTGGTAAAGAACCTGGTTAGCATTCGTGAGTCCCAGTACCAAAAAAATAAAAACAAGAATTGGATCTTGGCAAATTTTCAAATATTTAGTTTAGACTTTTAAAATGTCACGCAGCCAGGTGCCAAGGCACATCCCTGTAATCCCAGTAATGGTGAGGCTAAAGTAAGAAAATCACAAATTCAAGGATAGGCCAGGCAATTTAGCAACACACAGTTTCAAAATGAGATGTGGAAGTCACTCAGTTCTACAGTGCCCTAGGCTCAATCCCCAGTACCAAAAGAAGGTACAGGGGAAGGGCGCCCAACAAAGGAATTTGTTGAAGTTACAAGTAAAAGCACTGCTCACTCTGGAAACCTTTAACTCTAAGTTATCTCCTAATCTGATTCTCCTTTCCATTTTCTTCCAGTCACAGCTAATGTCCAGTCAGACAAGAATAGCAACCATTCTATTTTAAACTACTTACCAATGCGGGAGGGGGTAAAACCTACACAAAGCATGCAGAACTGGTAACATTCATACACATTCAACAATCTCAGCTATGCCTTCAGCAAAGTTATCTCTGGTCAGCTATTTCAAAGTCAGCTACCAAACTGTTATTTGTGTTTTTTTGCGGTACTGGAAACGGAACTCATGACCTTGGGCTTGCCAGGCAGGCATACCCTAACTGTATCCCCTTATATAAAATAAGATACTTTTAAACTAACGTTCTATCATGTGACCTCAATTCCAAAATGGCTACTCTTAAAGTAGTCATTAGGAAAACCTCTGACTCACACTATTAGTGTTCCAGTCTTACTTATCATTACCAATTGGTCATCTCAAGGTTTAGGGAGAACATTCTAGTTGGTTTGTATCATGCTCAATCTCTTCACCATCAGTTTTTGATGACAGGTCTGTGATTATGCCCAAAGAACATAAATTTCTGTGACCAAACTTTTGAAAACCACTACTCTACAGCACAAGACTAAAAAGAAGGCAGTGTCCTGAGGCCCCCATTCTGTCTCTAAATGGCTACACATCACTATGACAGATCTTTTCAATTTCTTTGAGTCTCAATTTTCTTCCACATATTATAAAAAGAGTAAGTACCAGACTATATGAACTGTAAGAATTTTCAGTAAGAATCTGCATGGTGACACTGCTACTGCTGGTCCAAGAGCCACAAATTAAGAACCAAGACTACATGCCTACCCTACGCAAGTTTATTTCTAGGAATAACACAATCAAAAAAAAAAAAGGAATGTGTTGTCCCCCAAAATATATGTACATGAGAATTCACACTGGCTTTATTCATACTAATAATGAGAAATAATTCAAATGTCCATTGCTAAACAAACAGTGCTATATTTATACAACAAAATAATACACAATGAAGTACTACTTCACACAATATGGGTGCGTAATCATATAATGATCAAGCAAAAATAGAATATCTACACTAAACAAAGCACCAACCTTTTCTGTGAATATAAGAACAAGCAAAACCAACTGATGGTGACAGACATCAACTGGAACCTTATGGATGGAGATGTTTTGTATCTTGACTGGGTGATGTACATGTACAAAAATTCATCAAGTTTTGTCTTAAAATGTTTACATGTCATACCACAATAAAAATGTTTTAAAATAATTCATAAGTAATTTTGTCAAACTGGATTTCAAAAAAAATCAATGGGTCTAACAAGTCCATAAAGAATGTACACTAAGAAAATTAAGCCAGGAGGACAGATGAGTTCAAGGCCAGCCTAGGCTATATATAAGTTCAAGGTTACCCTAAACCTCACAGCGAGACCTTGTCTCAAAAAAACAAAAACAAAAACAACAAAACAAAATTAATAGCTGTCTAGGTAGAACTGCAAAGAGAAACCGTCAGAGTCTACATTATTCCAGTACGGACCCCAGAAACCCTAACAACCCTATCTGAGCCTCTGGTTTCTCCCCATTCCACTTTCAAGCCACTCTAATCAAATGGGCCTTTTTGCAGCTCCTACTACAAATCAACTTCATTCCAGGCTTTGCACTGGCTCTTTTCACCGCCTCAAACGCTCTTTACCCAAAGCTTCCAATCTGGCGCTCTCTAATTCTTTCAGGTCTCCATTCCAATCACTGCCCCTTCAAGAGAAGTCATGCGAACTTCTTCTGCAAGTCATCCCTAGGAAAAACGCCTTGGTGCTCAAATTGTTAGCCTTACTCATGTTAGATCATAACAATGAAGCACTCTTTTTCATATTTGAAAGCAAGATGTTCCTGGTTAAATTTTGAAATCCACAGGACCATCTACAGTATTTGTACAGCTTGGGCTCTATTTTAATTTTTATTGAACTCCTGCTCTTTGCTTTTTTACCGTTTTTTTGTGTTTTTGTTTTGTTTTGTCCTTTTGAGTCAGGGTCCTGCTATGCAGTTCAGGCTGGTCTTGAGCTCCCAGGCTGGTCTCAACTCTGAAAGGATCCTCCTGCCTCAGCCTCCTAAGTGCTGTGATTACAGGCGTGCACCACCACGCCTGGTCCTTCACAGCTTTATAGTCTCCGGCTCAAGCACAAAAACACAAAGTGCTTTCTAAGTTTATTAAGTGTATAAATAACTTTAACCGGTAGCGATCAGCACCTTGCAAACAACTCCAAAAAATGTTTGACTAATGAATGAATAATGAAAACTGAGAGGACGTCTGGAAAGTCTCAGTACACTAAGGTTTTTTTCTAGTAGACTGGAGTTCATACACAAACAGCACAGTGCCTAGTATTTAAGACGGGCAAAAATAATCAAATGATAAAGTGAATTAGTGTCACCAAACCTAATTTTCATTTTTTTCTTCATTTTTAGAAAGTCTCCCAGGCCAGGGGTGGATGCCAGCTACGCCCCAAAGAAACACAACATGAGGCGGGTTTTCTCAGTAGCCGTGGGGATGCAGGAGTCGCGGGTGGAAGAGCAAGAGTAACAAGGGTCGGAGGCAAAAGGATTCCTGTAAAGCAGAGAAAGGTGAGCCAGGGGGTCAGGACTGGGGCTGGGACAATAAACAGCAGCTTCGGTTCCACGAAGGAAATGGTGCGAACGAGCGTTTTCAGCCAGAACCCAACTCAGTCCCGTTCCCCTACAGACAACAGTGGAGAAAGCAGAAATGGACTCTCTCACCTCTAACGCCGCCTGGGGGTCCTCGTCGATCAGACCATCTGAGAAGCTCTGGGAAAACCTGCCAGGAAAACAACGAGTTCAGCAGGCTCACTAACCAAGGTAAGACGGGTAAAATGAACAGCAAAGAGAAGGAGAAACACGCACCGCTGGGCTGTTGCAGGTCCTGCTGCAGCAGCCGCCATCCCTAAATTACTGTTGCAGCAGCCTGAGACACTGCCACCGCGGCTCCCAGCTCCGCCGCCGCCCAAGGGGGAAACTTCTGGAGAAACACCAAACGAGCTTCCGTCCCGAACAGCCAACGAGTAGGCACGCAGCGTGCGGCGCGGGGAGGAGAGGCGGGCGCCGCGCGGGGCCGGCTGGGAAGGTGGAGGACTGATTCTCCCGCCCAACCTCGGGTGCCGCCTCTGGCCGCCGGCGCGGAGCCCTGCGATTTGTACATTGCGTCCCTTCCTCTATTTTGCCCGCGGGCACTCTAACATAGCCTGGAGGGGTAGTATCTCAAAACCGCTTTGGTAACGTTTTTACCCCTCGGGAATGTGTGGCGGTTAGGGACGTAGGCAAGCCTACTGCTGTGCTACACTGAGCGCCAGGGGCCTTAGCTTTCAGCATGGCTGCCGCGGGGAGCCACGCCTTTCGTGACCCGAAACGTCATTCGTAGCTGCGTGGGACTTTCCGAAAGCAGAGTCCCGGATGACGCTTAGGTTCCTGCAGAGGAGAATCTTAACCGGGAAGCGTTTTACCCTGGCCAAAGCAAGGAAAAAAAGTCTGTGGTTCCAGCAGACCCTTTCCCTATTAATGTTTGTTGATCTACTTTCCAGCCTAAGCTTTGTAGTCGGCTTCCCAGACCAAGAGGAAACACCTTTGTATCTGAAGGTACAGAGGGAAGGAACTAGCCTAGAATTTTCTCAGGGCTGCTTTTCTATTGGGTGGCTTCAGGCCCTCCCCCACTGCCCTTTGACCTTAGCAGACCCAACCAGGACGCTTCCAGCCAGCAAGTACGCTGAGACTGCGTGGAATGGGAAAAATGGGAGGCTCGGTGGATGTAGACAATTAGAAGAGTGAAAGAGCTAGATTGTCTACCACATCTGAACTCTATACTAACGAGGGGTTCAAAGATGTTAATGGCCGCAAGATGTTTAGACCAATTCTAAGTGATAAGGTGGAAGAAGGGGCCCAGAGATAACGAGGACGAGCACTTTATAGGAATCTCTTCCTCGAGGTTGTGGTGTCTGAGCTCAGCCTCAAAAGATGAGCAAGTGGATGGAGGAAGGGAACGGCAGAAAAGTTTCCTTAGCCAGAAAAATTAAGGTGTGTGTTTGAAAACATTATAATGAGTTCTAAAATTTGTAGAAACTAAAGTCGAGGTAGAGAAACAGGTCTGAAGTGTTAAGCCCCAGGTCATACCAGGCCGGGGGTGGTATGCTAAGAAGCTTGGATGTTATTGTCTTGATGTAAACTCATAGGATTCTTAATCTAGAAATGCAGAAAGTCGTTTGCACTTTTTAGGTTTAATATTCTCTATTGCGAAAGAATGAGTAAAGGAGAAAGGAAAACAGTTGTTGCTAGGTAACTTTTGTGATCCAGATCAAAGAATCTGAATCTGCTGATTGATTCTAGAGGGTATGAATTACAGAAATGTAGAAGGTAAAACTGGGTTTGCTGATAAATGGAAAGAGGAGCAAGTTTCTGGTCTGAGTCATTGGTGAAACGTGATACCATTAGCTAATTTGGGGGGGGGGTACTGAGGATGAAACATGGTATAAGTGCTACTTTTGTGAGTGCTACGCAACTGCTCCACCACTGAGCTTCAGTCCATGAGTTAGCTGAATTAGAAAAGTGAAACAAGCAGATTTATAATTTCATTGGAATATATGTTTAAGGTACTCCCAAGAGTTCCTCGCAGACTCTAGGACACTTAAGTGAAAGAATGTGTAAACATAACCATTTTTAAAAGTTTTCTTGCTAATTTTGTCATATTTTCATGGTCTAGATATGAGTCATTGTCAGCTACATTCCAGATAACTTCTCCCAGTTGCCTTTTCATTTTAATATCTTTTTATTAATACAAGTTTTATTTTAAAATAGTCTATAATCAGTGTTTATGTCATATAAGGCTTTGCCTGCTTCAAACCTGTGAAAATTCCTTCTAGATGCTTTTTTTACTTTCTACATTTGTCTATTATCTCAATTTTTTTTAATTTTAAAGAGCAAAAAATATTTCAAAAGATAATAGGAGGGTAAGAGGTTACTACATTGCATATTGTTATCTTTAATTTAGTTACTCAGCATACAAGATTATTATCTCAACTTTTGCTAAAGGTATAAAGATGCATTTTCTCCCTCATGACTATATCATTTAATCATGGATATCCAAATGACCCAGCCCTATGCACTGAAAAGATTTTCATGGCCCCAACTAAGTTCTTTGGCACCTTTGTTGTTATATGCAATGTTTAAGGCATTATCTGGGATCAGAACTGCCAGGCCTACCAACTTGATATTGGACTTACCAGCCTCCAAAGCTGTGAACAAATAAATTTCTGTTCACTATAAATTACCCAATCTCATGTATTTTGTTACAGCACCAGAGACCCTATATATTCTTTGCTATTTACATAGTGAAAAACTAGAATACTATTTTTTTTTTTTTTTTTTTTTTTGGTACCAGCAATCAAACCTTGTGCTTGCCAGGCAGGCACTTATGCTGCTGAGCTATATCCCCAGCTCTAATCTGGTTTTAAAGGTTTTATTGAACTGAATTATAGTATGTTAATGTGCAGCTTTTTAAATAATTTAGAGAATATTGACAGACGACAATAAGTGAAAGTTATTGCTAGGTATAAGGGTATTGAATTACAGGTTTTCTTACAATTTTGTTTTCCAAGTTTAGCAATTAACTGATTAAGTGGCTAATTAGAAAACTTGCTTAAAAGTGTTTATTATTGCTGAGCATTTTTATTGTTCCCTAATTTGAAGGGACTGGTTATGGTTTGTCCTAAAACTTATATTGAAATTGAATTGCTATTTGTATTGGTCAGCTGTGTTGCTGGGACAAAAATACCTGCTCCCCACAATTTAGGTAAGTTTTATTTGGCTCATGGTTTCAGTGGTTTGACTCTATCTCCAGTTGGCTCCAAGACACAAACAGCATGGCAGACGGCATGGAAAGGAGAACTGCTCCAACCATGACTACAGGAAACAAAGAGGGAGCAAGAGAGCCAGACAGAGGAAGGAGACAGGAAGATACCCTTCCAGGTCACCCTCCCCCCAGTGACCCACCTCTTCCAACCAGTCCCTACATCCTGGAAGCACTTTCAACTTTGAACTCTTCAGTGAATTAATCTACTATTGAGATTAGTGCCCCTTGACCCAGTCACTTTCCAAAGGCCCCACATCTGAATACATCAGCCTTCTGGGGGCCTGTGAGTGCTGTATCTAGATGTCCCGCCGCCCCCAAGCCTCATGCAGTCACGGGTGGCTTTTCAGAGGTGGCTCAATCTAGGGTGTGTGATATTGGGATCAAGGATCTGATGCTGGGATTGATTCATGGTGTGATGCTAGAATCAGATGGCCCCACCCTGGGTGTGACTGCTACCCACCCCAAGGTTACATAACCAGGATGAGCTATAAAGGACAGAAAAAGTTGTTGCTTAACCACCTGCCTGCCATGGACTGTGTCTTTCTTCCCTGTGATGCCCCGCTGCCTTGCAGCCAGCCAACTACGAACTAAAACCTCTACAAACTGTGAACCAAATAAACATTTTCATTTTAACTTTGAGGGTTGGGTATTTCGCCTCAACAACGAAAAAAGTAATTAAGACAGGGACAAATCCTAACACTATGGTAACTGTTAAGAGCTGGGAGGTGATTAGATAATGAGGGGTCTGCCCTCCTGAGTGGATTACTGCCATTATCTCAGAAGTGGATTTGTTATAAAAGTAACCCTCTCTTGCTCCTTCCGCTTTCTGCCATGAGATGACACAGCAAAAAACTCTCAAGAGATGCCAGCACTATAATTAGGCTTCCCATCCTGCCAAACTATGACAAATAAGTTTCTTTATAAATTACATAGTCTGTGGTATTGTTATAGAAGCAGAAAATGGACTCAGTCATTGGTAACCCATTTTGTGATGTCTTGAAACTGCCATATAGGATGGTAAAAAGCCAAAGCAAGAGGATGACATCTGCAATTCTGACTAATGTAGTTTGTTATAGAAACATGCAATAACACTGTAAATATTAGCAACATTCTCTGGACACTTGTTCTTTAAGAAATGTTTGTCTGAAAACAGAATTTTCACATGATTTATTTAATAATAAACCAATTAAAGATACAAAAACATTTAGAGAATTCCAAAATTTAAATTTTTGTTTAAATACAAATTCACTTTGTAATAATGAAAACATAACATTAGACCTCTAAACATAATGATTTTTTCATTTACAAAAATTTTTCTTTGCTATACTAGAAAATTTGCAGAAAAGAATTTTTTTTGTATTAATGTACATTATTTACAGTTGAAAAAGTAATCTAAAAACTATTTTATTTCAGAAACTCGGATATATATGTTATCTTTGTATGCAATTTCCCCCCCTACCCTCAATAAAAATGATCCAAAATATAAAGCAATTATGCTCTTATAACTGATTACCCAACCAGATTAGTCCAAGACTTAAGTTGCTTCCTTGGCTCTTAAGAGCCTCGACTTGTAGCATATGTCATTTAGCATTCAATACCCTAAGTTTATTAATGAACCGTAGTACACAGTGGTCTAAAGAGTTAATGAAGAACTTAGGAAGAATTTATGGCAGATCTTTCTGAAAATAATGAAGTTTGTGGGGGTCACTTATTTTTCTGTAATATTTTAACTATATTTATAATAGAAAATAACCTGGTATTGTTTTAATTGTCATAATTTAAGAACATAGGTGTTAGAATCTGAAAATTGAGAACTATATAACAAATCGGTAATCATTTAATCCAATGCATCCTTTCCTTTTGAGAAGTAAGGCCCAAAAAAATCAAGTGGCTTGCCCAAAGTTACACAGCTAGTTAGGAGAGCCACTTTAAAGCTTATATTTTTATATTATCTTGCTTCTGAAACAAGACAACATACCATGGGCATACTGCAACCTTTAATGTTACTTTATATATTCATAGTTTTGTTACAGAGTGCAGCCAAATAAATTCAATCTCAGTGACATAATTTTAACAACATAATAAAGTAAGTTTCTTGCATTTAATAGAGTTAAGACTTAAGTGGAATGCAAATACTTCCTACATAAAAATCCTGTCACCTTATATTTATTGTATTTACAAAAGAATGAGAAAAGCTAATACCATGTAAAATTAGAAAAGAAACTTTAAAAATGCTTATCATATAGCAACTGAAGAAAATTTCAAAAAATGGATTCATAGTATAAAATGCCAGTTCCTTCACAATTGAATTCTGAAACATCTGGAGTACAAAGAGAAAACTTGGGCTTTTCTCTCTCATCTAACAAAGCCAAAATTAACTCTAAATTATTTTTTACAATTACAAAATGATGAACCTCTGTGGATTTATCTTAGACAGTTTGCAGACAACTGAAAACTAGTCCAATTTAAAAAAAAAAAAACAAAAAAACAAAAAAAAACAGCCCTAATTCCTTTGGTAGAACTTAAAATGAGCTAGGCTCCAGCAGTTCATTTTGCTTCACCGCTACCTGAGAGGAAAATCCATTGGAACTGGATACCACCATCACATAAGACTGTGGCTGCTCAGTTTTCTCCATGTCTTCTTTCAAATGATCTTCAGCCTCCTTTTTCTCAGCTCCCTTTGTCAGAGTCTTTGTTTCCTGAGCTTTGATGACTGAAGTGATTACAGTGCCTGGCGGGTGAGCAGCCAGCTGTGAGCTTCGAGGGGAGAACGTCACCACAGGGGCGGCAGCACTGAAGGGTGGGGATGAAGTCACACTGCCGGCTCCGTTACAGATAGACTGAACACTGCTAGGAAGGACCCGCTGTACCTGGGTAGGGCTGAGGACAACTGAAGGAGAGCCTGGCTCCTGTGACTGCAGCACAACACTTTCTTTCAGTACTGTCATGGGCTGTGAGGATGGAATGGCTTGTAAAATAAATTTCTGAGATGCAGCACCTGCTGATGGATCTGTGCTGGCTATAACCGTCGTAAGTGGCACTGTCTGGAGTGTTACTGTATGTAACTGCTGACTCCCCGGAGACACGACCACTGGAACTTGGGCTGGGGCCTGGATAGTCCTATTGAGATTACCAAATAAAAGACAATTAGCACATTCTACATCATTTAAAACCTTGATATTTGGCAAGTCATTCTGACAAAATTTGGTCAACACTTCAAATGCTACTTCCCATATTCTTAGCATGATAATCAGCATATATAAGACCTTATATGAAACATTATACATGCTTGCCGAACACAAAACTTTCAGGCCAGTAGGCATGGTGGTGCCCACCTGTAATCCCAGTACTGTGAGAGGCTTAGGACAGCAAGTTCAAGCTGCCAGCCTGGGCAATTTATGAGTTAGCAGAACCCTGTCTCAAAATAAAGAGGGCTAAGGATTGTAGCTCAATATGAAGGTCCTGGGTTAAAAAAAAAAAAATGCAGGCCATTAACTATGATAGCATCTAATGAGTGCTTTGAAAAAATATGCTATGTACATTGCCACAGTAATACAAGTACAGAAACAGTTTTCATGGGAAAGAAGGACATCAAAATGCCTAGCAAGGGCCAGGCCTGAGTGCACATGCCTGTAATTCTAAGTACTCAGGAGACTGAGGCAAGGGGGCCCCACAGCCTGGCATCCTAGCAACTTGGTAAGAAAAAAGGGAATAGGGACTCCCTGGGTTTAATCCCTAATATGAAAGAAAAAAGAATAGAAAAGGGAGAGACGAAGAAAGAAAAGGAGGGAGGGAGGGAAGGAAAGTTTATTAAGAAGTTATACACAATCCACTTGAAAGAAAATTAGAAATTTAGAAGTAAATCTGTTTAATATTTGTGGTAATAAGGTTATCAAGATGTTCAGAATAATTAAACTTCATATAATTTGCTTCATTATATGAAATTTAATTTATTCAACCTGTTTAATTAACATATAAAGAAAAATGCACAAGTATAAACAAAAAACCCTGTCTTAAATGTACATGTGATTAGGGGCTGGGGATTTAGCTCAGCGGCAAAAGCGCTTGCCTGGCAAGCGCAAGGTCGTGAGTTCGGTTCCCGGTACCGGAGAAAAAACCAAAAAAAAAAAAAAAAAAAAAAAAATGTACATGTGATTAGAAGCTCATCATTTACCTAGACAAGTCATAATTATAACTAACCGAGGTTTCCAGAGTAGTAAGCAATGTAAAACTTTGCAAAAACTAAAATAGAAGTGTGTTTTAACAGTTTCCTAGTCACAAGTAATTTTCACAAATTTCAGTCGTAAAGCTACAATTTAAGCCAGGCCTGATGGTGAAGAATTATAGCTCATGCAAAAGCCCTAGGTTCAATACCCAATACCATCAAAAAAATTAACACTAACAATGTAACAGAAATCCTTTGATATAAAATCTAGTTTTGTTAATCTCATTGTTGAAGAAAATGGTACATAAGTGATCTGAGTCAATCTCATTTTAAAAACTGATACCTGTGAACTTTATAATTATGGCCACTACTAATATAAAACAGTTGCAAAATCAGCATCTGGATCTCAGCTGTTTTCTCTGAATTCTGTGTTTTATGTACGATATTTAAGTTTTACTTCAAATATCTAACTACTAGATTAATTCCCATAAACTCCAAGGTTTTTAAAGCTAAATTTTAGTATGTTACAGTTACATGTCCTATCACATTTGAAAAAGGAAATTGTGGAGGAAAAATAAATGGCCTACGTGGCAATATAAAACAAAGGCCAGTACAACTCAGAAGTTCAAAGGAAGTGGGAAGACACAACGTGACCAATGTCTACCCATCGGGATACTACTTCCTCAGTTCAGAATGCCACTAAGTCACCACAGTAAGCAAGCTACAAGATGGTATTAACAGCTTTCTTGGAGGAAGGAGCTAAAAGAGAATGAGTTGGGAGGAATATTTTAAGAGTTGAGCAGAGTATTGCTGAGAATGAAGGCCAGATAAACTAATATTAAGGAGGGACAGATGATTAAGGACGAAAAAGAATCATTTTGGAAAGCAGGGAGCATTTCCAGAACACACTCTGCTTCCCTTCTCCTCCTCCCATCTGAACTGAGGTATCTTGGGTTGAATGAGGGTTGGAACATAGTATGTAACCCTACATACAGGCATGTAACAGTTTTTAAATAAAACCTCAAGGACTTTCTATGCCAAGAGTTTACACATGTGCCCATACAGATAAAATAGTACTTGACATATAATTAGCATACAGGTTGTATACACATGCATATATACATATACATATGTGTATTAGATAATATAAGATATAGATATCCTGGCCACCTTGTAAATACTGTTATCCCACATTTTACTTGTGAAGCCATAAGCAGCTTGCATGTTGAAAGAGGCCAGTTAGGTAAGAAAGGAGGCTATCTGATTGTAGAGCCAAATGCCTGACCATGTCAGCATACTTCTACCTCTTAAATCCAAATAACTTCAGCTAAAGATAAATTTCTATTACATCCTAAACTACGGGCTTTGTACAGTGCTGGGAATTGAACACAGGGCCTCACACACACTAGGCAAGTGCTCTCCCTCTGAGCCATGTCCCTCTGTAATACACACCTTTCCCATTCTGTTTAAATTAAGGCACAAACAATAATATGGACATTTTTCATACTGCTAATTAGGAATATCAGGAAGGCTTTTGAACTTTTGTTCAAATTTTTTAAGCATGGCCTTTTCTTGAGAAACCAAATTGTGTTAGAAAACACACTTATCTACAACATCAACATTGTCAGCATAACGGCCTATTTGAACAAACTCTAAAACAGGTTTTGCTAATACAAATTCAGAAATTAAAGAACGAAACTATTACAAAGTCTTTCCCCAAATACAGGAATTTCTAATTATTTTTTCTTAATGATTCACTTCTGTCCTGTTATATAGCACAGGTAATGTTTTAACTGCTTTTGTTTCTTCTTCTTTTTGGTCTTTTTGAGACAGGGTTTTTTTGCTATGCAGTTCAGGCTGGCCTTGAATTCACTTTGTAGCCCAAGCCGGCCTGAACTCATAGTGACTGTCCTACCTCAGCCTCCAAGTGCTGGGATTATAGGCCTGCTTAATTACTTTTTAAAATGTTTCCAAATTTCTTGTAACTAACTGCTACAATATTTGTAATTTATCTAAAGTTTTGAGGCTAAGAGAAACAATGTAACATTTAGCTTTTGTGCAAGATCTAACTTAGGATGTCATTTATAAGGTTATGATCTTGATTTTATAGATGAAATATACTCAGAATAGTTTGATTCATTTTCACATTTAATGAAGGTTATGCCTATATTGTTCCTAACTCTACTAAATTGCATTTAAGATACTCTATACATATTTTTTATTTATTTATGTATGTATGTATGTATGTATGTATGTATTTATTTTTGGTGCTGGGAACTGAACTCAAGACCTTGCACTTGCCAAGCAGGTGCTTGTGCCACTGAGCTACATCCCCAGCCCTACATTATATATTTTTAGAGGATAATTTATTTCAGAAATCCAAGACAAACTATTAGTGTTTCAACAAATATTACAGAAAAAGAAGTTATGTTTTGTACATGTACTTCTAAACTTAACAAGGGGCAATTTTCAGAAAATATTTTACCAGGTTTATTTTGTTGTTGTTTCTTTGGTTAACATGAAGCCAGAGTGAAATTTAAACTTGTAAAAAAAAACTGAGCACATATACTGTAAGTCAATTAAGAAGAGCTTGATTCTACCTAGATATATGCTATTCATGAGGTGAAAGGAATGAAGAAAAAACTTGAATGCTGCTGCCTCCCTTCAAATAGGTGATAATCCATGTGATGTCATTAAGCGTACTGCTTTGGACCAGACTGCTCTTTCCATTACAACATGACCAAGCTCCTTCACTCTTCCATTCCCAACTCTACAAGATAGGAGCATTACTTACACCTCACTGAACTGTGAAATTCTATTCACCTTGACATACAAAGTGTATGAAATACAAAAACTACTGACTACAACTCTTATTGCTACAATAATTTAACAATTTACTCTGGGAGGCTGAGGCAAGATGATCATATGTTGAAGCCTAGCCTGGGCAAGTTAGGGAGACACTGTCTCAGAAAAAGAAAGAGCTGTAGCACAGTGTGAAGGCTCTGGTTCAATCCCCAGCGTGTGTGTGTGTGTGTGTGTGTGTGTGTGTGCGCGCGCATGCGCACGCACGTGTAGGGGTCTAATTTTAAGTTATGAATACTCCACTTTCAACCAGGAGGAAAATATCTTTAAAAGGCCTCTGATTTTATTAGTAGATTATCAATCAAAAAAGATATAACTAAACTACTACTGATTTTCATAGGAGTATTATGATTATTCATGTTTATTCTTGTAAGTTAAAATATTTAAAATAAAATGTCATGAAGACTGTCAGCTTATCTGACAAATAGTCAAAGAGGAAAAAAGGTATAAACTACTATACAGACAAAACAAGGCAAAAATGCTACCAGTATTTTTAATCTAAGTAGATGAGAAGTGTTCTTTATATTTAACTTTCCCACATTTTGAACTTTTTCATGATAAAAAGTTAATTATAAAAATGCAAATAAATACAGGGAAGGGGATACAGCTCAGCAGCACAGGACCTGCCTGGCAAGCCCGAGGTCCTGAGTTCAATTCCTGGTACCAAAAAAGCAAATACAAAGAAAGAAACCACTAAACTAGAAATTATACCATGAAAACTAATAATGTCAAATTTTCAGAGTGTACAATTTATATTAAAATAAATCTCAAGCAAATTGTACACTCTGAAAATTTGACATTATTAGTTTTTCATGGTAGAGAAGTGCTATACCACTTAGCTACATCTCAAGCACTATTCAAGGCTTAACTCTGACAATAAGTAAAATCTGGGGGAGGAAAATAAAACAGAAAAGAATGTTTTTTAAAGATGGATGATTAAGAAAATGTGTGTATGCTGGGTGTGTTGGCAATGCCTATAATCCCAGCATGCAGGGGGCTGAGGCAGAAGGATTGCCATGAGTTTGAGGCTAGCCTTGGTCACACAGTGAGCTCATGGCTAGCCTGAACTATATATAGCAAGACTCTGTCTCAGTAAAATAAAATGTAATCTAATATACAAATGAAAGAAAATGTATACACAGTACATAAATATAAATATATAAATGATTTACTAAAAGTGTAAGCTTTAAAATTTTTTAAAAGTCAAAAATTCTATATTTACTCATTCTGTAAATAGTTCACTTAGACTTCATTACCCTGAGAAGAGAAAGAATTATATATATACTTCTTCAACTTAAATTAAATTGTATAAATGTGAATGGATGTAATGTGTCAGATATTACTAGGTGCTAGGAAAATAACACTGAATAAAATAATGTAGAAATAAATTATAAAGTAGAAATAAATATGAAGGAGATAAAAGTTAAAATATATAGGGAGACAGAAATAAAAATCAACTAAAATACCAGGTTTATGTAACAGATATAGTCAGGCAATCAGCTTTACATGGGAAGCAAAATGAATTCTGAGAAGAAAGTGAGAGTTAGCCAGTGAGGCTACAAAAACTGGATACACTCCATGGACAACGTGGATCTACCAAGAACAACAAGAAGGCAGCAAAATTACTTTAGAATAATGACTTATAGTAATACAGATTGAACATCCCTAATCCAAAGTCCAAAATTTCTGACTGTGGATGTGATGCCACAAGTGAAAATTCCACACCTGACCCCAAGTAATGGGTTACAGTCAAAATGCACATGTACAAAAAACCTGCACAGAATTACCTTTCAACCTATGTGAATGACACACATATGAAAGAGAAATGAATCTCGTGTTTAGACTTGGTCTTGTCCCCAAAATGTAGCTCAGTGGTACAGCACTTCCCTAGCATGCATGTACATTATGTACATGTAAATATTCCAAAATCTGAAATCTGAAACCTAGCTATTCCCAAGCATTTTGGGTAAGGCATACTCAACCTGTACATAGGTTGAGCAGAAAAGATAAATAGAAGCAGCCAAAGTCCCTCTCAGGAACCCTAGAAATAAAGCCTGAAAGGAATATCAAGAATAGTTTGAAAGTCATGATGTTTCAATAGCTAGCATTAGGTATTATTCAGAAATTGACAGAGTAATTATAATATTCAATACAATAGCTATAATTTAATATCTTTCAAAGCTAGAGGTTTTAAAAAAATTCATCACTGTCTAAACAGTTTATTTTATTTTATTTTTTTATTTTTGGGTTTTTTCCAGTACCGGGGACTGAACTCACGACCTTGCACTTGCCTGGCAGGTACTGTGGCACTGAGCTAAATCCCCAGCCCCTTGCCTAAACAGTTTAAATATAACTGCTAAAAGTTCCACTGAATCACTCCAAGAGGGGTCCCCAGTGACTACCTGTGGTAACAGTTTGTCTCTTAAATACACAAAATGATAAGATGACAAACAGCCTAGAAAACATATTTCCAACTAAACAATTATTATAGGTAAACAAATAGGAACTAGGAGCAAATAAAACATTAGAAGGAAAAGAGAGTGAACACTAAATAAGTACTCCTTTAATAAATGTTAAAAGATATATCATTCCTGTCCAACTAAAGTAGAAAAAGTCAGTTTGTATCATTTGAAGATTTAAGACTTCACAATGTTGAAAATTTAAATGTACTACACAAATCATCCAAGTCTGTCTTGTTCTAGGTAACATGAACTTACATCAAGACTAACCAAACAAAACCTCAGCATTTGTACTGTAGAATATACAGATATAGAATGGAAATGTGAAAATGATAATCATTTTTGTTGCTTCTGGAAGGGCTTCTATGTGCCATTATAATTCATGTTCTGGAAAATCATGACATAAACAAAAAAGGAAAAGGGGAACAAAAAACTATAAGTATCCATCTAATTTGTCTGCCTGCCTTCCTTGCCTGAGAAGAAAATGAGAGCTAGCACTCAAAAGTCAGATAAAACCAGCCCCAAATTTCTACAAATGAGTCTAAAGCAGATAGGGTTTTCTTAGTTAATTTGGTGTTCAGCAACATTCTTGGACCTCTGTGGCAAATTTGATTGTTTACCTAAAAAAACAAAAAACAAAAACAAAACAAACTTGTTTCTAACTTTTAAAATTGTAAAACCTAAAAGAGAGGACCCTTAGATTCTTGGTACCTGTTTGAACTTTAGAACTATTAGAAGATAGATGCTTCCTAAGGAATAATATTTATTTCTTGGAATCTAATGCATTCTAAATGCCACAGTATGTCAAATTTATGTTGAATTTCTGTAGATTCTGCTTTAGTTTAAAAAAGAATCTAGCCGAGGATATAGCTCACTGGCACAAGCATCTGCCTGGCAAGCACAAGGTCCTGAGTTCAATTCCTGGAACCAAAAAAAAATCTAAAACCATTCTCTGGATTTTCTTACATTTGAATCATTCCTTGTATGGATCAACCTACCGGACTAGACTTAAACTGACAGAGTAACATCAAATTATGTCAAAAGTTAAAAATAAAGAATTATTGATATAGTAATCAGAAGACTGATGTAATAATACATATTGCTCCTGCAATAATCTGTCAACCAGGGGCTGGGGATTTAGCTCAGCGGCAAAAGCGCTTGCCTGGCAAGCGCAAGGTCGTGAGTTCGGTTCCTGGTACCGGAGAAAAACCAAAAACCCCCAAAAAAAAATAATCTGTCAACCAAGAGTTCTAGCTTCAGGCTGGAGACGTAGCTCACTGGTACAGCACTTGCCTAGTGTGCATGAAGCCCTGGATTTGATCTCCAGCACTGCAAAAGAAAAAAAAATTCTAACTTAAAATGTTCACTTCTGAATCTTCATCCACCTAACAAATAATGGCTCTGGTCAGAAACATTATATAACACCACACACCATTTGGCTGGTTTTCTCACCTAATACTCTGAATGGAAGAATTTAATGTTTCTTCCTGCATACTACTGGTTCTGGATGCTTCTTCCGGGACAGCTTGCACTGGTTGTACCACATGAACAGTCCGAAAGAGCTGGGTAGGATATGGAGGCTGTGAGGGCTGCATTGTCCTCAAAACTTCTGGTGGCTGTGCAACTTCCACAGGCTCTTTGGGTTTTGTAGCTTTAGAATTCCCTGGTTTTAGAACAGTAGTGGCTCCTCCTTTAATCCCTGGACTTGATGATACTCTCGATCGAGTTGCTTGATTCCTACTTGAAGTGGCTGTTGAAGACAGTGATGGATTTGAAGACTCTATGCTGGAACTTGGATCTTCATCATCTATATAGATAAGATCTTTTGGCATTTCTTTAAATTGATACACCAAGCGCTGACCTTCCACTTTTGCCAGAATACCCCTTTGGTAATAGTACCTATTGACAGCAGACAATTTCATCAATGTTTAATCAAACAAAAATAATATTTAATAAAATGAAATTTTCCTAAGCATAAGCAAAATTTTAAAGTTGAAATCAAACAAATGAGAAAATAACAAAGGCAAGTTATCTTGTATAGGATACACATAAAATTTACATACAGAGAAATAGCCTTATCATTAGTTAAATCTAAAACTAGGTCTAAAAAAAATAAAATAAAACTAGTTCTGATTAGGGACCCACTGAAATGTGAATGGCCCTTTACTTTTCTCCCTTCCTCTACCTTGCTACTAACTTGCTGGAATAATATACTACAAACCTCAAGAAATTGCCCTCCACAGCTTTCACTTTTGTACATAAAATTTAATGAAGAACAACAGAAGCAATCAGTACCTAAACATAAGTCAGCTGGGCATGGTGGCACATGCCTACAATCCCAGCTATTCAGGAGGACTACAAGTTGGAAAACAGACTGGCTAACTTAGCAAGACCTTATTTAAAATTAAAAATAAAATTAAAAATTTCTAAATAATATAAAATATGAAAGGCTGGGGATACAGCACAGTGGTACAGCACTTGCATAGCATGAGTGAGGCTGCAGGTTCATTTCCCACTACCATTCATTTAAAAAAGGGTAAGTTAAAAATACCAAACTACAGCTAAATAGTTCCAATTTAAAATAGCTGGACTACTTATCCTCTAAAAAATTATACAGATCATTCCTATTTCTAATCTTTCTCAAATACCCATAAATCTTGCAAAATAAATGACATGATTACAGAAAAATACAGTGTAAGAACCTTTAAAATTGTCATGATACCTGATATTAATATTGAAACATTAATTTACTACTCTATAATAAATCATATATCCTAACTAAGACTTGTGTTTTAAAAAGCAACTTCTTATTATTAAGTATCTGCATCACCATTATTGGTACTTCGGCTCAATTTAAGTGTAATGGCTCAAAACATACGAGCCAGATAGCTAATTTACAATTCCTAAAAACAGACATTATGAGTAAAACACCAGTTGAATATCCTTTATTTGAAATGTTTAGGACAAGAAGTATTTTAGATCTTGTACAGTTTTTTTTTTTGTTGTTTTTGTTTTTTGCATAGACTTTACAGGTTGAGCATCTCTAATCACAAAATCTAAATATGGAAGGGCTCCAAAATTCAGAACATTTTAAATATTGCCAGTGCTCAAAAACATTTGAGATTTTGGAGCACTATGAATTTCATATATTTTTTTTTTAATTAAGAATGTTCAACCTTACCAGGTGTTTACATAAAGATATTTTTAAAGAAGGAAAACATTTTCCCTGATTAAGATTTTAAATTAAGTACATACTGATTTCAAGTGGGCTTGACACTTAAGTAAATAAAATTCATTATTTGTTTACTCTCTTACTTTTTAAAAAATTACCAACTTTTTTTAATATCTAGAAAATGATTCTTTTCCCCTTGGCATGAATGGGTATTAAACTCAGGCCCTTGATTATGCTGTGCTATTGTTGTACCACTGAGCTACATTCCAAGCTCCTAGGAAATGATATTCTTAACAAAGCAAAAACTTTACAAACCTGAGTGCTCGACCCATGGTCTCATAATTCATATCAGGTTTGTTTTTATGCTTTCCCCATAACCTGGACACTGCTTTAGAATCAACCAATTTAAAAATGCCTTTTTCTCGCTGAGTCCATTTGATGTATTTAGGACAAGTAGCTTTGTCCTGCAGCAGGGCCAGTAAAAACTCCCAAAGATAAATTGTATTTCCTGAAACAGAAGAATTTATTTTGAAATGACTAAAATTTCACTTGGAAGAGCACAATAAAACAAAGTCTTATAAATTTCATCATATATTTACATAAAAACATTATATACTTCAGGTAGTATTGCTGACATAATCAGTTAGTATTGGTGGTATTATGGTTATAATTTTGAGGGTCTAATAAAGACTATTTTATTAAACCTCTATGAAACATCTGAACAGAAACAATCATCAATTAGATCTGTGACAACTTAGGAAGAAAGCCCTTTTGAGCTCATTTTTTTCTTTTTAAGAACCATCACATAGGAAAAAAACATAAAAGAGTTATGTAAAATCTTTCAATAGCTGATCTTTTTTTATTACAGCCAGCATGTCAGCCATAAGAGCTTTCTTCAAATATAGCAACAGTTATGAAAACAATACAAAGTCAAGACAAAGTAATAACTAACATGTCTATAAACTGAAAATCTAACAGGGCTGAAATCTTTCAAGACACTAATTATTAAATAAAAGAATAAATTGTTTTGACAGCTAAATGTAAATAGATATTTATAGAATTTTCTAAAAGCTTCCTTTTAAAAATTGGCAACTGAGGGCTGGGGATTTAGCTCAGCAGGTTCACTTCCATAAGAAGTTTGGCACCTGCCTGGCAAGTGCAAGGTCATGAGCTCAATTCCCAGTACCAGAAAAAAATAAAAATAAAAATAAATTAAAATTTAAAAAAAAAAAATTGGCAACTGTATCTTATAAGCAGTTGGTAGCAATAGATTCCATTTCAGTATATCAAAAAAACTAGTGGTTTCTACTTATAATATGAAGACAAATAAAGGAACTGCAATGTTTCTTGGCCTGTAAATACTATAGCAAAATTACAGTAGTACTTACCCTTCCCATCTTTGTTTTTCTTCTTCACAGATATATTTGGTGTAGTGGCTGGAGAATCTGGTCGTGGGGGCTTAGTTTTTCTCCCTGAAATTAGAATAGCTTTGCATAAGTACTTGCCCTCAAAAGTGAGAAAATGAAAAATTTAGCAATTTTGTCGTTTATTCTAAACTTTAAATCCCAAATGCTTTATATATAGGTCATTTAACTTATCCCTCAAAATGTTTACTAAAATAAAAATAACTTCAGTAAAAACTGAACATTAATGTAGATTAGATCAAAAATAAACGTATGAAAGAAATGATACTTTAACCAGAATCTAAAGTACATGCATGTAATCCCAAATACTCAGGAAGCAGAGGCACAATGATCCCAAGTTCAAGGCCAGCCTAGGCAACATGGCAAAACCCTGCATCCAAATTAAAAAAAAAAATTTTTTTTTAAAGAAAAGCAATGACAAGCTGACCATGGAGGCATACACCTGTAACCCCAGCACTTGAGAGGCTGAGGCAGGAGGATCACTGAGAGTTCAAAGTCAGCCTGGGCTACAAAGTGAGTTCAAGGCCAGCCTGAACTGCATAGCGAGACCCTGTCTCAAACAGATAGATAGATAGATAGATAGATAGATAGATAGATAGATAGATAGATAGATAGATAGATAGCTGGATGGCTGGATGGATGGACAGACAGATGGATGGGCAGGCAGGCAGGGGGGCGGACAGACGGATGGGCAGACAGATAATAGACCAAGCAAGCAATGACAAAGTTTATTTGAAAAAGTAAAAGTGAAAAGTACGACAGAAATTGGCTCTGCAGAGTAAGCTAGAGCCAAGTAAAAGAGGAAAAAGCAAGATACAAGTACACCCTGGAAGACACAGGGTGGGCTATAGGGAGGAAAGCCATGATATCCCCAAGTGAAATTTTTTAAAGGACTGTGATGTACAGTAGTCCGATGGCACAGCACTTGCCAGCATGTGTGAGGCCTTAGGTTCATCCCTGGTACTGCTTTAAATAATAAATAAAAAGGAAAAAAAAAACTTCATCTGCAAAAATGAAGTTGAACTGCAAATATTGTATCTCCTCTTTAAGGCAATCATATTGATAGTGCTTTCTTAAAATTTTGGTGAGTATTCTTGAGACTGATAAAACTTGGGCTTAAATCATTAGCCATATGGATTTATCTGTGGCTACATATGTTTCCTAAGGCAGAAGTTGCTTTCTGTCCCGCATATAGTTAGTTCTCAAATATTAGAAACTTCTCCAAACTATAAATATAGAAAATATAGGTAGCAAAATTTTGGGGAACCATATAATTAATTTCTTGAGGGGGGTTTTGAGACAGGTTCTTGCTATACAGTTCAGGCTGATCTTGAACTCATTAGATCACAAACACACCTATGAAAGAAATGATACGTTAGCCAGAAGCTAGGCTGGTCTGGAACATATGGAGATCCTCCTGTCTCAAACTCCCAAGTGCTGGGATTACAGGTATGTGCCACCATGCTTGGTTTATCGTGTGAATTTTTTAAATCTAATTTTTCTCTGTTTCAGTTCATAGCAAACACACTTCATGGTTACCACCATTCTTCTCCAAATAAATCTACCCCAGCGGCCTTAATCTCGGCTGATAAACCTTGCTGTGTTCCTTTGCTATGCAACCAGAACCACAGTTTGGCAGCGCTGTTTCTGGCAGTTAGCCAAGACGCTCACGCTGCTGGACCAGCCTGCCATTCTGTACAGTGACCACCTTCTTCCTCCACATTCATGAGGCTGATGCTCTCTGCCCAGATCACAGGGTGAAGTTTTGGTTATTATAAAGCAATCTTTGAAAAGCATGATTATAGAGCTAAAAATGACAGGGTTGGTAACAACCTATCCCCAAAAACTGAGCAGGAAAACAGTTCTGAGTTATTTATGTGAATAAGAGTAAGGGAAAAGATGGTCAAAAAGCCACTCATCAGCTGAGTTCAAAGCCAACCTCGAATACATAGCAAGATCCTGTCTAAAAGAAAAAAAAAGATTGCTAACTGTATCCTAATCAGCCAGATACAGCATTCTCGTCACCACAGACATCTGCAAAGAACTCATTTATGAAGCAGATCCTCCTGGCTGAGTGTTTTCAGTGATAACAATTACTAGAAGTCAGGACATCAGCAACTTCCTATCATCTCATTTTACGCTATATACTTGTTTTTTCTTTATTCCCATCGCCTTCTTTCAACTAGTTTTAGTCATGGCAAGACACTGCTGGTAGCCCATCCAAAATCCATCTCTTACATCACTTTCTTTACTACTCAAGGTGGCAATGTATGCAGCTTTACATAATTAGAGCTTATTGGGTAGAGTGTTTTTGTTTACCTGTTAGGTCTTCGTAGCATTTTGAATATATCCAATCCCTCCAACCTTGAATGGGCGCTTCTAGGCTATCAATCTAAAAATCAGTGTTCTTTAAATAATGTAATTTCTCCCTAGTTTGTGTCTTTCTTCTTTTTAGGGGACTTGGGAAGGGATTTTTGGGTATTCTGCATTTTTACTATCAATTTTACTATCAATTCCTGGATTTATTTACCTAGATGTAATGGAGTTAACACTATTCAAGATGCATAATGTTAAAGATTAATGTTGTTCTAGGAAACTCCCAGTCACTGTCTTTGAATATTGTCTCCTCCTCACTTTTTGGGGCAAGAGTGCTACAATCAAACCCAGGGTCTTGTGCATACAAAGCAAGCACTTTACCACTGAGCTACATCCCCAAACCTAGCTTCTTTGCTTAACTTATGTTGAAACTCATCCCTTTTTGTTGTATGTATCAACAGTGTGCTCCACTTTATCACTGACTGATTTATTCAATTACCAGTTGCTGGATATTTGAGTGGTTTCCAGTTTGGGGCAATTGCAAATAGGGCTGTCAAGAATATTCATGTATAAGTCTGTCTATAAACATAGTTTCATTTCTTTTGTTTAGATACTAGCAGAATGGCTAGGTAACATGTTAAGTATACATTAAGATTTTTAAGAAACTGATGGAAGTATTTTCCATAACAACTTTTTCCATGACAGTGGGGCAATGATAGGCCTCACCTCAGTTGTTTTCTATCATAGAAAGAACACTCACTTTTATTGGCTTATATTCAATTTCTTTAGTATCACTGTTTGATATATTTTGTTTGTTATTCCATTTTGACTAACAGAAGTAGTTCCACTTGGTCTTCTTTAATAGTCTTATTCTTGGATAATGTTACTTATTAACCATGTTAAGTCTTTGACCATGTTTTTATTCTTTTGACTTAATAACTACAATCATCTTCAAAGTTTGTATTTTATATATATTTATAAATTTTTTTTGGTACCAGAAACCAAACTCAAGACCTCACACTTGCCAGGAAGGCACTGTACCACTGAGCTTTATCAGCAGCCCTATTTGATAATGTTATTTATCTATGGCTCTTAGAGAACTAACCCTAAAGTTTTCTACATCTGCTGCTATTTACTCAGGAAGTGTCTTCCTCATGTATTCTGTGACAGATACCATGATAGTAGTTTACCTTCAACAAGGCTTTATCTGAGGAAATCCTGTGTAACCTAGGTTGAATGTATAACCCACCAGAGCACTTTTATAAGAACTTCTGACTGGTTCCCCCAAAGTTACCACTAACCTGGGGCCACTTATTATGTTAACTGCATGGCTGGGAATTTCCATAGTCAGTGAGAGGTTAGTCTCATTTTAAAACTAGTATCAAGTAGGCCAAGCATTATGAATTCTCAAAGGAAAATTTTCTCCACTCAGTATTGGCTGACAAATACAAGCTTCCTTGATGTTTGTCTGTATCAGCAGGTAGAATTTTACCCCTGAGGCTCACATCTCTGTCTAGTAGTCCATCTTGCAAAGGTCCAGGACCTAAGCGTCTGCCTCATATGGGCAATAAATCCTCATACCATAGCTGTCTCAGGCCTTCAGAGCTGCTATATAGTAGCTGCTGCAGCTACTTTCCTCTTATTTTTTGGCTCTTGGAATTTCCCTTTCTTTCATATGAACTTAGATTACTAATGGCAAAAAAAGAAAACATAATTAAGAAAATATTACTGGTACCTGGTGATGTCATTAACAAAGATATTAAACTCAAAACATACAAGCAGGAACAGAACCAGAATACAAATGAAATAGAAAGAATGTTAGACTTTAAAATGCAGTGGTCCCAATTTGTGACATTAAACATTCTCCTTTAATACATCCCAACATTTTGTTCTTCAATTACTTACCTGCTATTTCCAACTTATTGCAGTTTTCCAACTGGAATCTTATACTGGAATCATCAATACAGACTGGTGGCTTTAAATCTATGCTCCTCTAGAGGAAGCTGACCTGCCCTTATTCCTAAGCTCTTTTTGAGGCTTTGATAAAAGGGTTTAGATAAAAATATGAGGCTTTCCAAAAAGTTGGAAAATATCTTTTCTGTGAGATAAACCCAATATTCTAAATCCATAAAATAATTTTTTAAAAAAGACTCTATATGAAGAAATATTTAATTTTGTACCCTAACATTTTCCTGTTTTAATTAGTATAAAATTATACCACTGAGTAAAAATTAGATTTTACATCAAAGACTTGACTATATGCCCTAAAGCAGTTAACTACCCACCTTTCTTTCTTTTAGGCTGTTCTGGTGATGAGGGCCCTGGTGAGTCTGCATATGTTTCTTGCACCTGCTGAGTTTCCATCACTTCAGGAATCCCATCTAATGTGACGGATACATGGGTGATTGGGGCAACAACAATGTCATCTTCAGATGAACTAAATATATTATTACCTAATGGAAATAAAATCCATATAATCAACTGTGTATTACAAACCAAAGTAAATTAACAAGATTATTTCCTATTCCTATGAAGTTTAAAGTACAAATAAAATCTTAAAATCTATTCTCTGATTTTTTTCACCTCCTCTAAATCATGCCAGGTTTGACTCGACTATTTCAATGGCGTTCTTACGTGACTCCCTATCGCCAGTCTATGTTGTCCTCCTTCTTTGTGTTAGGAGGTATCCTAAAACCTTAGTCTGACTACATTATTCTTCTATGCAAAATATTTACATTTTGAAAATCAAAAGTAAAAATTACAAGAAAAATACAACTTCTTAAAATTTGCTTAAGAAAAAAGAAAAGAATAACCCAAATTCCACAGCATGTCTTTCAAAACTTCCAATCTAAACCAAATCTTTCCAATCTCATCTCCCACTTACTATGAAGCTGCATTTTAGTCATATCAAAACATTTACCTTCTAAACTTCTGTTTGTTTTTAAAGGTCTGTGTCTGAAGCTCTATCTCCAAACTTCTGTTTGTTTTTAAAGGTCTGTGTCTGAAGCTCTATCTGCTAACTTGTAGCTTAAGTGTTTTTTCCTGTCTCCTCTACCTATTAAGTTTGTCACTTTTAATCCAGGTTAAAATATCCCATCAAGCCAGGTATGGTGGCACAAACTAGTAATCCCTGCTACTCAGGAGGCTAAGGTAGGAGGATTTCAAATTGGGTAACTTAGTGAGACCCTGACTCTAAAATAAAATAAAATAATGGTCTGGGGATATACTCAGTGGTAGAGTTTGTGGCTGCATACCATGTGTGAGGCCCTGGATTCAATGCCCAGTCCTGCAAAACAAATACCCTGATCCTAAACATTCCCTCAATAAAGCCTGTCTCTGATATTCTCTGCTACAGTACACACTGCTTCCAGAACACTTTGTTATCACTCTCCTGGCTTTATTTTTACTTTTTACAATTACTTTTATAAAAACTAAATTATAATTAGCAATTTAGCAAGAAGATCCTGTCTCAAAAATAAAAATTTCTCTAAAGGGCTGGGAAAGTACTCAGCAAAAGCCCTGTGTTAAATCCCCACAACTGCAGATAAACAAACAGACTGTAAGACTGGGGGAAGCAATCTACTCATTTGCATATAATATTACTATCTAATGCATTGCTGTGATGAATACAGCAAATATTTATAAATATCCTGAATTTAGTAATAATTTTATGAGCTTAAATGATTCTTTGTCAGAAAAAAATCCAAAGAAAAACACAGATTTCAAAATGGATCAATAATGTGGCAATAAATTTTATGCCATAAAGAGCTAGTAAAATGTTTAATGATTGTGCCAATCCACTTACGATTGTCTATGGAGATGAGTAAATTGATGATCTGGACTCATCAAAGAAATTAAGAGAGAAAATTGTACATAATAGTTTCACCAAAGAGATTAAGAGGATATTATGTATAATCTACTATTTGATAACTAATGAATTACTTTTATTTCTAAAGGCTTCATTCCCCCAAATTAAGTCTTCTTTAACTGAATACTTTAGCAAAGGTGCCTCAATAAGTACTGTACCTTAAAATGTGTTTAGGACATTTATCAAACATGGTCTCTGATATCTAGATATTTACCATCTAACAGAGATAAGAATAACTTTATGAAGTACATAAAAATGAACAATCCAACCACTCACTTATTCGTTTTTCATCCAGCATAGGGCCAGGAGAATCCATATTAAGGAGTGCCTCAGCAGCCTCAATAGTTTCAATTGTTTCATCTCCATTATGACAAGAAGCTTCAACTGTAAAAAATTTAAAGAAAAACAGAATTAGTACAAGATATTCGTTGCTCTGAAATTCACATACTGCTAATCTCCTGAACAAGACACATCACTTAGTATGAGTTTATATACATACAAACTATTAACATGCACAATTTGTATCAACATATGAAACAATATCTGATTAAGTAACTGCCTAGTTTTTATTTTTTAAAAAATTTTGCAGTATGTTGGAGGTAAGAGAGTAAGCAAAGTAGAGCATATACTCAGGAGGAAACTCACTACATCATTTATCTGCTAATTCTTAGATATTTTCCATAATTAAGGATGGGTATTGGGAAGTATCCTAGAATGACAGCAATCCTAACCGTATCATTAAACCAATACGCCACTAAGCCATTTCATTTCTCAGAATCTCATACTATAAAATCACTAGGCCGGGCCAGGGATATAGCTCAGTGGTATAAGTGCCTGCCTGGCAAGCGCAAGGTCCTGAGTTCGATTTCTGGTACCAAAAAAAAAAATCACTAGGCCGATAGTCTTAGATACTTTTCACCTCTAAGATCAATGCTACTACTCTGACTGGAACACAAGCTTCCACTAATCTCTGAATCTTCTTTCATTAGTGAATTACTATTTCCAAGAAATTTTAAGCACAGTCACACTGTTAAGCGTCTAAACATATTTTGGCACCACGCTTCTCTGGTGTGTTTTACTCCATCATGGACTTTGCCTAATCCATGGTGCAAATTACATAATACATTTAAAAGGTTGAATGTATAATATAAATTCATGGCTCCAATTCAGGGTTGGACTTACAGTAAATAACTAAATATAGGCCTTATAATTTTATACAAAGCTAAAAAGTAAATATAAACACTGTATTTGTAATGGAAGAAGAGTTTCCACAGAAGTATAAGGTCTAAAATTTTCAAAAATTGTTAGTATCACAACCTTTTTCACATAAAAAGTTTACATGGAACTTCCAATATGAAACAGATAAAAGTGTTTATCTTTTGTCTTTTGGTGTTTTGGTGGCACTGGATACTGAGCCCAAGGTCTCTGCACTGAACTACACCTCCAGTCCTTTTCTTATTTTTTATTTTGAACCAGAGTCTGGCTAGGTTGCCCACACTGGGCTTGAATTTGCAATCCTCCTGCCTCAGAGTGCTGTCACTACAGGTGTGTGTCACCTCACTCAGCTTTATTATATGTTTTTAATAGATTCAAATTGATATCAAACTTCATGTTAAAATGAAAGTTTTCTGATGAATTTGAAAATAGGGGTTATGATAGCTACAATTTAATACAAGCTTCAAATCTAGTAAAATCCAGTTTATTCTTACCCTAGTACTGAGCATTGTGCTAGATGCTAAGGTAAAGCTGAAAACAAAGCAGCCACAATATTAGCCACCAGGAAAACTATTGATACATTTCATTATACCTATTTATGGTAAGTTTTCTTTTGAGAATAAATATGCAAATTATTGCTATCAAACAAGTAATTTTCCCAGTATCTCTGGTCAGGATACATGACTATAAACATACAAAACAATAAAGTATGTGCCAATTTCTTTCCTTTCTTTTTTCTTTTCCTGAGACCGCATCTCACTATGTAGTGCAGGCTGGCCTTGAACTTGCTTATGTAGCCCAGACTGGCCTCAAAGTCACAGTGATCCTCTTGCTTCAGCCTCCTGAGTGCTGGAATTACAGGTGAACACCAGCATGTGCCAATTTCTAAAACTGATGGAAATTTCACCATCACTACTTATTATATAGTCAGTTCTTCAAGTCTGAAGAACTGAAGTTCTGACTGAACCTGAAGAGCAATCTTCAGGACCTTATGTATTCAGATTATGGCCTACTAATTTAGTCCTGAAGCAGTAATAAGAACATTCCTCTATCTTTCCCTATCAACAACTTTCCATTTTCTTCTCTGGAATACAGAGCTAAACATATAAAAAACTACTTGGTGAAGACAAGATGAATTAAGTAGGTCTGACTTCTCTGATATACCTCCTATTTTGTCATGTCCATTTCAATGCATTCAAGAAAAAAAGAAACAACATGAGAAATTAATATGAAACAAGACATGAAAGAAAGTAGTGTTCTTTCTGCAGGGCTCTACCTTCAGCAAGTAAAAAAGTTACTCAAAGCCTAGTTACAGACTTTTTATGTTCTAAAATCTCCAGGACTGGGACACTGCCTAAAACTGCATGTACCAAGGTCCGGAGAGAAGACACACCTACCTGTAAGAGTGATGTCATCATCATCATCGTCTATGATTTCTTCTTCAGCAACATCCAGTGAGCTTTCAGTAATCATGTCATTGGGCTCTTCCACACAGGCTAGACCAGCATAACTATTGAGAATATCAGCACCAGGAACATGTTCCACAATTACAGCAGGAAAAATAGCTGGGTCACAAAGCTATTAGGGGTGAAGAGGGGAAGATGACAGAAGACAAAGAATAACTAAGTTTTGCTTTTTTTTTTGGTTTTTCTCCGGTACCGGGAACCG